TATACTGTAGACGGTTTGGTAGGAAAGTTTGGAGGTGCGGACATAATCGAACTCGTAACTCAGGTAAACCGTGTGTTTACCATTTATCTTCTTGTAATGTTAATCATATATGCCCGATTATGGTTAGAGGTAGAGTGCAAGGTGTCGAGCTGGAAATACTATTAGACACTGGGGCTTTAGTATCCCTTATTAAGGACGAACTCTTAAGGAAAATGGACCACAAAATCTAGCGAAATCGATGTCCCTCTACGTTAGTCACTGCAAGTGGAGATCCCCTAAAAGCGAGCTCTAAGGCCTGGTTAGATTTAATGATAGAAGAGCATCCATTTCGCCACGAGTTCTTAGTTTGTCCTACACTAACTTGGGACATTATTCTCGGTGTCGATTTCATGCTTCAACATCAGGTCTCTATATTCATCGATAAGTTAGAAGAAGAGATTGGGGAGGTTATGGTACCCCTCCACCATCATGGGATGCCGGCTAAACCTGTAACTTGTGGGGGAATTTCAGAACTTGTCCGTCAGATACAAAAGAATCACATAATAACGAAGACGGATCGCCGCGCACCGATAGCTGTGCTTCAGCAGTTTAGTACTGTATTCGAGGAAAGTGTATCCGGAAACCGGACGACTACAGTACAGCACTCTATCTTCATTGGGGACCATATACCACTTCGCCAACCACCTCTCAGGGTGCCAGTGCACTACCAACTACAGCTAGATGCTATGATAAAGGACATGTTAGACAAAAAGATTATAGTCCCTTCATCATCCTCCTGGGCGTCACCCATTGTTCCAGTGAAAAAGACTCCTCCTTTCGACTCTCTGTAGATTATCGACGCCTTAACGCCATAACTAAATGTGATTCTTTTTCACTTCCTCGGATCGATGGTACATTAGATGCTCTAAAGGGCGCGTGTTGAGTTTTCAACTTTGGACTGGGTACTGGCAAGTAGAAATCCGACTACAAGATAGGAGGAAAACCGCATTTATAGTACCCAATGGTTTGTATGAATTTCAAGTAATGCCTTTTGGTCTAACAAATGCCCCTGCTAATTTTCAGAGATTAATGCAAACAGTTTTAAAGGACATAGTACCCTATAAATGTTTGATTTATCCTGACGACATTATCGTGTATGGTAGTACACCTGAACAACACAATACCAATTTAAAAGCAGTTCTTCAGCGCCTTCAATAACACAATTTAAAAGTAAAACCGTCCAAATATCGCCTGCTGCAGAAAGAAGTAATCTTCCTGGGACACCGTATCACTGCAGATGGGGTAGGCACAGATAAAGAAAAGACACGTGTGATTCATAATTGGCCGCAACCACAATCACCCGAAGACGTTCGTAGCTTCCTTGGGCTAGCTTCTTTTTACAGACGCTTTGTTCGCGACTTTGCATCATTAGCAACAACTTTGCATCGATTAACACACAAGGGACGAAAATTCTTATGGACTAGCGAGTATCAACAAGCGTTCGATGCTTTGAAAGCACGATTAACCTCCCCACCTGTATTAGCCTTTTCGAATACTTCAGCAGACGGAGGTGAATTTATACTCGATAAGGATGCTAGTTCCTCGGCCATTGGAGCAGTTCTATCGCAAGTAGATCGAGATGGACACGAAAGAGTCATCGCGTATGCCAGTCGACGATTAGATAAGAGTGAAGCACGGTATTCTACAACACATCGAGAGATGCTAGCACTAGTAAAATTCTTACAACACTTTCGCCGTTATCTACTGGGCAAACCCTTTCGTGTGCGCACGGATCACCGTGCATTACAGTGGCTCCGCTCTTTCCGCGAACCAGAAGGGCAAGTAGCACGCTGGCAGGAACGGCTACAAGAGTTTAATTTCACATGCGAGTATCGACCGGGAAACCGACATACAAACGCGGATGCCCTTTCCCGAATACCCCAGACCACAAATAATGTTAACACAATTCTCAGTACAGCGCTAGAGACTGATTGGCCCTCCCTACAAGCAACAGATCCGGACCTGCAGATTATTTACCAAAGACAGTTACACGGAAACAATAAGCCATCAATGAAGGAGTTAAAAGATCAACCTTTAACAACTCGTCGTATCTGCACTAAATGGAGCAACCTAAAACTATTTGGTGACACGTTATGCCTAGTTAATAAATCGAAACAACCCCTACTGATAGTACCGCGAGTCAAAGTCGAGAGCATTGTGGAGCAGGTACATCGCGAACTTGGTCATGCGAGAGAACGAAGGACGAAACACACTGTCCGGCAACGTTTTTGGTGGCCATCTATACATGAAGATGTAGCGCGATTTTGCAAGAATTGTAACACGTGTTGCCGTTTTAAATCACCTCAGCAGACACCCCGTGCACCAATGACACCGATGATGACAACAGGGCCACATCAAAGGGTCGGCATAGATATCATGGGACCATTGACAACGACAAAGAACGGGAATCGCTATATACTGGTTATGGTGGATCATTTCACTAAATGGTGTGAAGCAGTACCCACTCCACAGCAAGACACCCTAACTGTTGCCCGAGCTTTTATCGATCATTGGGTCTCTCGTTATGGTGCACCAGTCTCACTCCATTCCGACCAAGGTCCAGCCTTTGAAAGTCAACTCATCGCTGAGATATGCCGGCTATTGGGAATCAGGAAGACACACACTACTGCGTATAACCCAGAAGGCAACGGCCTTGTGGAAAGAACGAACAGAACTATTAAAGCCATCTTATAGTCGTTTTTCAGCAGATCGTCAACTGAATTATGGAATAATGTGCTCCCTCAAAGCCTTTTAGCGTATCATACGTCGGTACAGGGTTCCACGGGATTCTCACCAGCTATGTTACTGTTCGGGCACGAATTACGCTTACCGGTAGAGATACAGTCGCCCCTACTACTTTAAGAGGAACAACAGCATTGACCGTATATACGTACCCTTCACAACCGCTTAGCTGATGCATACCGCCTGGTCAATCTCAACTTGCGTAAGGCTAGCGAACACCAAAAAGACATGTACGATCGTCAGGTGAAAGGACCGATGTATACAGTAGGAGATCTCGTCTGGCTACGCCGCCCCATGATATCGTTAGGGAGTTGCAGTAAATTCCACCAGCCCTGGCAAGGTCCTTTTGAAATTATCTTCATCCGATCCCCCACTACGTTTGTATTGCGTAACATACAACGACCTAAAGACGACGTAATAACGGTACACTACAACCAAATTAAACCGGATCGAATGACAGTTTCCTTCGATGCTCAGTCTGCCAGATTACCGCCGGCCACTAGATTGTATGAAGTACCATCAGAAGGAGGAGCAGCATACCCGTGCCCAAGACCGGGCACTGAGGACAGTGCCCTATTAGGAGAGGGGGCGATGTAACAGCGTTAAAATCATCATGTATATGGTGTTGATAGATTCTGTTTTCTTTCTATTGCGGGACGACCAAGAATAAATGCTTTAGAAGAAGAAGAATAAGCTCTACATGCACTGAGCCTACAGGACGACTCATAAAACTATTTGTAAACTAACGCCCCCCTTTCCGTACATCTCCCCGCATATTTTGAATTTCAAAATATAATACTGGTGTCTTGCGTTCCGTGTTCTCTCTCTGTGGTGTGAAGTTCTCGGTTAATTATTGTGTGCTGTTGTTTCAGATTCTTCCGCCCTTCAATAGCTGCTGGTAATACGTGTTACAACGGCACATGTAATCGAACTTCTGAAGGTTATCGGGTAGGTAATCGAAGATTGGCTAGTAGGTTGTGGTCCTGACCTTTAACTGGTGGAATTCAGTTTTATTGCGTTATAATATATCTTTCATTTGGCATGATCTTCGTCAAAGCTTTCCTAACTTTTATTATTAGAACTTTCCGTGATGATTCTGCAAAATCCCAAACACCCAACATTTTGGTATTAGAGCAACTCAAAACTCGAGTTTCTCAAGTCTGGAATTTTTTTAAGACATGATCAGAAGTTTCCCAGCCTTGGGTTCTCCTGAATTTCACTGATCGGTAAACTGAACTGACACCTCAAGGTGTCATTTTTAAAACACAATCTACAACATACCAAAAATAATAAGCTATAATGACTTACCCTCACCAATTTGGAACGAATACGTTCGTGCAACATCAGTGAACATATAGCCGAATTGATAGAAAAGTGGAAATAATTTCCAAACGGAACATATGAATATATGCACGCAGAACACTTTTTTACGTACGCTTTCTTACGGTACTTACGTACTTATTATCTTGTATCGTGCATATAAGCCTAACATGCGAAAACTGTCTTTCCAATGAAGTCACCTAACCAATCAAATTTCCCGCAATTCTGACTTACTGTGAATCCCTCGGTAAAAACGATAATTATTTAGACCGGTTTTGGTTTTAGTCCCGTGCAGTGCTTATCAAATTGCTCAGTTGCGGTGATAGAACGTAACTCAACAGTAATTTCACTGTTTTACGAGGGTTGTCTCACTGGTCCTCCATAAGTTTCGTATCTTGATTGTAACACAAACAATGACAACTTACAAAAGCCCACGATGCAAGACGTTCTTTCGGTCTTTCTTTTCTTAAATAGAGGCCTAGCAATTTATGTACTATATTTCTTCGAAGTCACTCACTGATCTCAATCCCAGTTGCACAAACCGGGGGGATCTCTAAATCACAGGGTTCGCGAATTAACGTCAAGTCCATGTACTTGTACTTGTTTACTAAATTGCTGGACAGTTTAAAATTCCTGATATATCCTATATTTTGCCTACATCCTTTATTCTCCAGGATAGCAATCCTTTACGTGTCGATTACTCATATACCAAGAGACCTGACATAACAGAAGTGTGCATTGCCTTATTCTTCAATTAAGAAAAAAATGTCTTGGAAAATGCCTATCCAGTCAAAACGAAGTTTGCAAAAAGTATTACTCATTGAAGTTAAAATCTGACAAAGTTTTAAAATTAATAAATTAAAACGCGTTTCACGAAGCGATCTTCACTGTTAATATAAACTTAATGCACCTATTGCACATTATTGCGGGTCATATCGCATATAGACTATGAAACAGGAAAGTTTAGTCTTTCCATGTGGTATCTATTGGTCCCATCACTCTTGTTGTTAATAACTGAAAGTTCAAAGTCACAACTTGGGATTTGTCACACTTTCTGATGATCATCTAATTGTGTGCTGTAATTATCAATGCCCTCGTCCCTACATCTTGTTGATGTAGAAACACTTCAAAATTTGTGTGAACTTGGTACTATTGTATCAGCCTGTACTATTAGATAGTTATGTTGTTCGTTGAATTCTGGACCTGATACATTCTTACCAATTTAGATTTGGTCGGTCAACAATTAGGAGTAGCTGGATAACAACAACAATATTACTTCGCAACTGATTAGATAAAAGTATAAAATGGTAGCTCATTGGTTACGGCGTTTGACTTTCATGCACTTAGTCGCAGGTTCGGGCCCCGATTTACTGACTTCTGTCTGGGGTACCGGATAGGATAACTGCTCTTCACATTTAAAGCGTGGTTTGGACACAAGAACACATTTTTAGTCAATAGTAATGGTAACAAAGTAAAAACATAAGTTGCTCTAAGCTTTATCGATAGAGCTATAGAAAATCTAACAGGTTCATTAGTGTCATTCTTGGCTTTCGCTTTAAGATTCCTAACCTTGCTCGATGTCTGGCTCAATTATTATGTTTGTGAATTATGGATTACAGTTATTTGCAATGCGTGCACATATAGTATTTTAGTTTAGTGATTTATCAACTTTTCCTACCTCCATCAGATACTACTTCACGTTTAAAACGTAACTTTATGCCTGCTAAAATGCCTTTTCTTTGCAGAAAATTGCGTTTTTGTCTTCCTTCTGGGAAACAAATGAACGAATCCTTAGCTAATGGGATTATCAAACCTATGATTTGTGGTTTATGTAGGAAAACGTCTTCATATATCTGTCCTCGATGTGGTATTAATTATTGTTCACTGACTTGCTATCGAAATGAAGCGCATAAGGACTGCTCTGAATCATTTTACCGAGATTGTTGTATTGAATCACTGCGTTGTACCTTTTCTAAGAAGTCAGAAAGATCGCATATGAAAGAAGTGTTAAGACGTGAATCATGTGCTTTATCAGATGACTTCCAGTTAGCAAATATGAGATTTCAGGTAGACAATGATTATACAGGTGATAAGAATGAGAGTATTGAAGATGATTTGCAAACCCGGTAAGCGTTTCTTGTTCTTTTTCATCGATAGTATAGTTACTTTTAAACATGATTTGTTACATGAAAATATTTTTTGTATAAATAGGATAAACCTTAACATTTCTTGAATTTAATTATATTAAAATTATTTGACTTCTGTATCTGTCATGTTGACAAGTTGTCCTCAAGATCACTAGAAAATTTCTGCTTCCATTTGTGCATCATATGAGAATGTGAGCACACCTGATTGCAAACAAAATTAGATCACGGACCGAGCACATTTGAATCGGGATTACAAATTAGATTAAACATGTGTACTTCTGTAATCCAATCAAAACCCAATAAATTGAAGGGTTCATCAGTAACATAGCATTTGGATTTGATAATTAGATCATTAAATTTGACTGAACATTTAATAATTCTAGAAATTTTGATTGGGATGCGTTTTTATGCACTCGTTAGTAGGATAAATGCATGATCGACTAATTTCGTACCAAGTTTTGTGAGAAATCAAAATAACATCGGATGTAGTATTCAACTGCAATGTGATAATACGATCACTAACGTTAATGGATAAATACTTGCCTACACATCTGAGGTTGGATTTGTACAATACACGCATACAATTGATCCTTCTTGGCATTCGATAATGGGACAAGGGTTTGCTGCGTTTGCAAAATCCCTCCTTATGGCCAGTCAGTCCACATTTTGTACATTTATGTTTATTGAATGGACAGAAACGGGAGAAATGCAATGCCCCATAGCTCCATCAACTAGTGGAAGGTCTTGTAAAGCGACGTGAATTAGAGTCGTAGACACCACACTTTCGGTTCGGGCTAGGAAATTTTTGCGGTTCATGCTTCATGAAATCAATAGTGCGGTTTGAACGAGAGATTTTCATCAATTGGGATTTGGTCGCCAGAAAATGTTGTTTCTGGCGGTGTCCGTAACGTGATACTGTTACGTGGTGTTCTACGCATTAACTCCTCCAACTGACTACTTGGGCAAGAAAGTGTATTGGATTACCGAATGAAATCCACAAATACTCGTTCATATATATGTACCACTCTATCCCTAGGAAATTGACCCAATTAAATGCACTTGTTTTTTTGGGTCACCTCTAATGGCCATCGGTTGACATTCTAATTAGGCTAATTCTGATTGGCTCTCCATATCACTATACCCGATATTAGTATTGTTTACTCGTTAATTAGAACTAACCAAGACGTTTACCTATCTGGGTAGTTATGTGGATGCTGTTGGTGCTTTAGTAGATGAGATCGATCCAGTAATAACAATAGATTATTGCCAACTTGGGCCATCTTTCGAACCGTCATGATATCAGTAAGGTTTACAAACTATCAGTGGGAGCAGTCCCACTTCATATCTTTTCCGAGTTGAGAATATACGGAGACTGCTCAATAAACGTTGTCTCCAGAGGAGTGCTAATATGCAATCGCAAAACCACGTTAGCTATGCTAAGGTCCTGGGATGTATGTTCGATTGCAGTGACGTATATTCGGTTGTTATCTTGAAATAACAACTTCGGTAGTTCGGTCATGTTATGAGTGTCATCCCAGGTGTTGGCGGGACATAGATTGGGTTAAAGCATGCTCAATGCACGATTGCTTTGGCGCACGCTGATTGGCTAATTCGTGCCCAATCAGCGCTAGTTGATACCTGGAGAATACTCTAGAAATATTCTCATGTAAAAACTATATACTAACGTTTTTCTTATTGTGCTTCTTACTACCATCTATCCTTGTTATTTGGAATATAATCACTTTCCTGTTCAACCGTGTTCTGATTTGGGGACTTATCGAGTGAATCTGTGTCTGAGAATACCAAGCAATAGGAATATCTGGGTTATAACCGTAAGAGAGAATTATAACACCAGGTTACTTCAAAATACACTGTGTCGACTCTTATGTTGGTTGAAAAAAGCAGAAGTAATCCCTGTATGATATGCCGTTGTGATGAGATGGATGTATAATAAGACTAGAATCTGTCACGACTTAATGATTAGAGTCTTAGATGTAGCACGACTCAATGGCTTGAAATGTTATCATGTATATTTCAGAATATAAGCCATTACGTATCCTGGTGTATATTCCTATTGTAGACTTCATACTAGTGTGATGAATTCTCTTAACTAAAATGTGCTTCTCGCAGCTTAATTTTATTGGTTATATTACTCTTTCCTCCTCTATTTCTTCACAATATTATAGCTTCATTTGTGTAGTACATCTTGTATATTCTCCATTGAACCACAGTTTACATGCGCTATAAATAGATAAAGCGCAGGTAAAACAATGACTTAACAGTCTCCTTACGAATTTCAATATTATTTATGAAGTACAGGACAAACTACATAGCAATCGCCTTTTGTTCCGCACAGCTATATCCTCCTAGGCTGGTAAGACCTTCAGGACTTATCCAGCTTCACGTAATAATAAGTGTAGGTTGAGAAGTCAGGAACATTCCAACCTCTCAAAATATTCCCTGTACCACTTAAAACCATCCTACTCATCATGAATTCCCACTCTTGTGTACAAAAATTGAACATAGTATTTACATGTCGTTAAGTACATCTTGTGTTACTCTGTGAGAATACTGTGTACTATTTTGTAGGTTTTTGTTATTGGTATTTTTAATCAGACTAATTGCTAGACAACATTTTTAGTACTACGAATATCAACATTATCTTGGTTAAAGCTCACAAAATCAAATACATTCATAAATAATTAGATGAAATGTGTTATTGCAGTGGTAGTTACGGTTTTGCTTAGTTTATGTCTAACTGTGCAGAGGCTTTTCAATTTTAAATCTCTTTGGATTATCTAAAATGTTTTGGACAAATCTAATACGTGAATTTAATGGAGGGATTAAAGTTGCATCCCTCTTAATTTCATTTGTTGCGCACATATATTACGCAATAGCATTATTGTCATTCAATGTTATCTTAATAGTAGGTTAATTCATATGCTTTGAAACTAAAGTTGTTAATCGGAGCAAAAACTTCAGGATGTTTTTATTGTTTTAGTTTAGGTGATTTAAATTTGGAAATTGAGGATGCTGATGTCATCTGGTCACGTTTGACCCTGAAAGAAAAACGAGATTTCAGCCGGCTTATTCAGTCAAATGCTATCGTTCATTTCATACCAACATGGACTCCCTGGTGGTTAGAGAAAAAACCAATTATTGTAGAAGTAAATCAACAGAATGTTTCAGTGGAAAAATCGCGAACCTCACCTAGTATTCAATCGTTAAGTCAACTTTTACCATCCGGAATATCACCCCACCCTTCAGTTGGGTATATTTTAGCAGATGTATTATTGGGATATGCTTTTGTTATGAGGTAAGCTAATAACGCTGAGTAAACCAATAAAGTTTTATTTAGTCTCAAGTTTCCACTGATTTTGTTGTAAAAATTAATGTTTTCTTGTATTTTATTGGATTTGTGTATGTTTGTTAATTAATTGAATAAACTCTAGACTTGAAACCATAGTTACTGTATGAAGACTGGTGATCTCATAGTACTGTCCAAATGAATGTCAATTAAGCATTCTTAAATGTTTATGCAATGGAATGACATAACAGAATTATTTAATTCTGTTATGTCATTCCATAGAGTAAGACAAAAAGCCGGTTGTCTAGGCTAAAAAGTTATTTTCATATTTTTGTCCTTGGCTAACTATAACTGTAGTAAAATAAAGAAACCTCTCCGTAACAAGTATTTCTAAGTTTTCAGAAATTATTCTAGTTATTGTGTTAGTGTACCTGTACTTAAGATTAACAATATATATACACGTTGATCAAAGTTGGTGATTATTGTGACTCACTGATCTAGTGGATAATGAGCTAGAGTTTTATTCTAGGTTTGAGTTTCAGTGTAAAGAATAACACTGGAATCCAAATATATCCAAGCAAAAAATCCCAAATATAGGGAAAAAAGCGTTTTGCTCATGGCTAACTAAAATATCACCTGGTTCGTTTATCAAGTAATTTTTTTCAAAGTAATTTTGTGTCCATCTACTGTTTGTGTATAACTCATTTTTTCTACTTATTATAGATTTTTTAATGGTGACTACATGGACTTAATCGATGATGCAGGGACTCTTCTGTGCAATATAGTCTTATCATTCACGAAATCTCAGACTACTTCAGTCTCATCACTGAACACTACTACTTCTACTAATAATGATTCATCAGATTATTTAAAGAAAACAAGAATAGTTAAAAGACAGATTGGAAATAATCCAACTCATCAAATATATAACTGTATAAATGAAATTCTTGCCGCAATTCAATATAAACTTATGGAACTAAATTTACCTTGTCATCCTTCAATTATGATACTATTGCTTGAAGATCTTAGTCATTTATTAGATAATATTGGATTTTGTAATAAAGCACTGCATGACGTGCATAAATTAATAGTGAATTTCAGGAAAGCTCTACGTGCTGTAAATTCAAATGAAAATTTACTATTAAGAGCAAATATTGCTCATCATAAATTAGTCTTTCTTCAAGCTTGCCTTGATGGGAACAATCAATTGGCTAAACGTTGGCAAACAAATGTTTTACCAAAATTATGGAATCAAATATCAAATGAATTAATGCAACGAATTAATGATATTAAAAACTCAAATACAGATAAACGTGATGAAAAATCTGCTGGTCCAAATTGGCGCAATATTATTCGAGATGGAAATATTTACAAAAGTTCTTATTGTCGTACGTTAGTCGAGTCACTTGATACTAATAGCTAAATGTTTTATAATTCCTTCAGTACCTGTACATAATATACATATTTTAATATTTGCTTATGGCAATAAATCTAATATTTTGTCAGCTTGGTAGAGTTTGTTACCATTTTGATACAGTGGTTGAGGTTGCCTACCGTGACGACCGAGTTGAGGTTTATTGACAGGATCACATGTACAATAGCTTCCTAGCATACCAGAGATGTAAAAACATCCTGTTAGTCGTACTACTGACCATATTAAGGTGTAGGATGTTTCCCACTGATGACTACCACCACCAATAATCCGTTCTCACAGATGAGAGAAGAGATTGTGACGTGTTTCTCTGAACAGCACGTTACTATTGTCTTACGAAATTGCGATACTGGTAGAAGTTAACTCAACAGAATCGATAACTTACTGGTTTTGAGTTTGATAAGTCATAAGGAAACCTTACGTCTAGTTATAGTGATTGGTAGTATCAATTGAACAGGGAATATTTGCTACTCAATTAACTCTGATATCTTAATAGAACTATTAGCACCGACAACCGTGAACAAAAAAAGTATAAGACTCCATGTTTCTGTTTTTCAGGCGGTTCATTCCAAGGCGAAAAGCTAGAACTATACAACTCATCAAAGATCGATTAGGCGAATAGCTATTCAATACAAAAACTTTTACAAGGTAACTAAAACTGAGACTAGGATACATCGTATTAACAAGTTAAGCAATAAAAGGGTTTTTTGGAAGCATTACATTGAAAAGCGCATAGGAGCAGAAGAAAAACCGTTTCCACAGTTTTAGTAAGGTGTGCTACTGATGTCGACGGATATAAGTAGTATTCATTCCGAATCGAAAGTGGAATGCCTGAAGGCAGAAGATCGAAAAGAGAGAGTGATTGGTATGGAAACGAAGGTACAACCAAATCTGAGACAACTGACATTTTGCAAATCAAGCATTTACTGCATGGTTTCCTAGATTTTACTAAGAGATTCTGTAACTATTCAGATACGTTTGGTTGCCCCCACTGGTGTTGTCGTTCACTACACTAGTACTTAAGCAACTCCAAGGAATATAATCAGCAAGTAATCACCGGGTTTCAAGCCGCAATAAATTACATGAACCCGTATGAAATAGGATGTTTCTATGCTAAATGGGACATCCAATATATGATAGTATGTTTCATCTAACAGATGGTAGCTCTGATAGACTGTGCCTTTCTTAAAAAAATACTTTCTATTATTAATACAAGAGAGTTTCAGAAGAGACGCCTTCCTAAATTTACTTTACTTATCGATTAAAAAATAATAGGACTGAAAAACTGGTAACAAAATATGGAGAGCACACAGTAGAACTATGAGAAATCCCAAAAAGTGAATTTAGAACAATTGTACTAAACCACTTATCAAAGAAAAATCTCAGAATACTTGATTGGTCCATTTGTAAAAAGTAGCAGATGTCAATTAAAACAACATATTTTTGGAAAACTTTGTTAGTTATGTAGAAATTTCCTACTTGATTGGATGAGAACAACTTCCGTGTACGATACAATAGAAAAGTTAGTTGTGTCAATAAGTATCGGAAATCATTCCAACTAAGACTAGGAGACTGGGAGAATGCTTGTTTAAGCATTCAACTTGCGTAAATATTGGGGGTTAGATTCAGACAATACATGCACACAATTGATCATTCTTGGCATTCGATAATGGGATGAGGGTTTGCTGTGTTTGCGAAAACCCTCCTTATAGCCAGTCAGTCTATATTTTGCACATTTACGTTTATTGATTGGACAGAAACGGGAACTAAGCAATACTTGACAATTCAGTTAAACAGTATAGAAGTAAAGATTTTACTTTTTTTTAATTAAATAAGATTGTGAAAATACCATGGAATTGAAAAAGGGAAAAATGCGATCTGAATTCTATCTATGAAATCTATCTATATAATAGAATACATAAATTATTCAAATGGGATAGTTGTGTTTGTTGAAAATTAATTACATCTAATATATGGAAGATTTTTCACATAAAGCAAAGAATGCAGTTAGTGGTACACTGGTATCTTATCTACAAGGAATCAATAGGTTTTGCATGTTCAATGCTTCAGTTTGTATTGATCCAATAACGATTACCTAAAGGATGATCTTTAAAATAATATGAACCGTACTCTTCATACATTTGCTTAGTTGTGTAGTACTGTTCAGCATACAATGAGTTCGCGAAATGACGCGCTCCATGCCATGCGTCCAAATGAGGATCAGCTAGTAAATTGTATTTGTAAAACAGTATGAAATATTCACGTAATTGAAATTTCACCAAAGAAAAATTTAAGTTCAGAAGCGAATAGTAATACGCCTGTCCTGTAAACTGAGAATACTCAGTCTGACTTAATTATTTTATTTATTATTCATCTATTTGAACACATAAATATTGGTACAAGGGGGCACCAAATATATATGCTTTCACACAAAACAACGAGAATTTAAAGAGAATGGAAAAAAGGTAAGGAGCGTAAAGAATTATAAAAAAAAGAGAACAATAACGACCAGATTAGTGTAAGGTAGTATAGTAATAATAATGGGGGAAACGGAAAGGTACAATCAAAAGAAATCCTTCAGTTAAGGAAGAAGCAACCACTTTTTATGAGGAAAGTAAAAGAAGGTTACAGCACGATCACCACTGGCTTCTATTCTGAGCCATATCTGATAACCTCTCTAGCCACTGTGTTACACCATCTCTAGGACCCCACCCAGGGAGTCGTAAAGGACCAACAGAAGCCAGCCCTTTGCAGTTTTCTTTTATACCACGACACCATGTCATACACTGACCACCTCTCCACTTTTTCCAACCAGTACCAGAGTCGGCAAATAATGCACGATGAGGAATTCTCTGGGACGACATTCGTAGAACACATTCAAGCCACCGAAGTCGGTGCTTCAAGATGGTGACACCAATTGCATTATCGTCTCTGTGCCCGAACACACGATGCCGAACCTCTGCATTACTAACATGGTGTTGCCACTGGATGTCAGCAATCCTTCGGAGAGGCCAGGTTTCACAAGCATGGAGCAAAACTGCTCTCACCGACGCGTTGTAGATCCGACCTCTTACAGACAGACTAACATCACGAAGGCGCCAAAGATGGCCCAGATTGGCATAAGCCGCTCTGGCTTTCACTATACGTGCATTGATCTCATCACTCACACCACCACCAGCACTTATGCAGCTACCTAGATACACGAACTTCTCGACTACTTCTATCTGCTCACCATCCAGGGTGAGTACAAGATTAGAATCCTACCAGTCTTGTAGAAGTACTTTGCACTTCGAAGGTGCAAAGCACATACCATACCTACGGACATTGATTGCCAACTGATTTAGTGCGGATTGCATGGCTTGGGCATTATCGCACAGTAAGACAATATCATCCGCATACTCAAGATCGAGGAGCTATACTGGTTGGAACAACCGTTCCTCAAGGTCCTACCATGCCAGACAGGTCGGTTGAAGAGCGGTAAGACTAAAAGCAGCAAAACCAAGGTCCGAAGGCGAAGTCGTACTGTTGACTGTACAGAGGTGTGACGGCAGTAAGGTGTTTCCCTCAGACAACCAGCATAACAGCGATGCTGCCTTCCCACAAGGAGGAGTGGGGTTAGAAAATGTCGACCCTAAAAATGCAGATCTCGCTTTATCCCACGGATATCCGTCTCCGGCGGTAAGGTCTCAACAAGTACGGAGCCCACACAAAAACTATTCATAAAAAGGTCGTGTGACTGACCTCAAGCAGCTGTCTCTTGGGCACTGCGGTCACGCTCTCAGCTCACTAAGACCAATTTCCTTTTCAGGTACCTCCAGAAGGACCCTTCCACGTTGTGGGCATCCGGGAAGTGGTAATCGCCCTCATAACTCTAACAGCACTCAAGACCATTGTATTCATAATTAACTTCCCTCTTCAATTCCTATTATTCCTCCCCCTACATCGACTTCCGAATCTCAGCTTCCTCTTTTGGTTTCCTCCTCAAGTGCCACCATGGCCAACGATTCTAGCGCGCAAAACACTGTCCCAGGTCTACTGAAACCTCGCTCCAAACTATACATTGGAGTCTTCAACGTACACACACTATGTCAAATCGGTCAGCAGGCTTCCTTAGCTAAAACTCTAAAATCTCGTACGATTGATGTATGCTGTGTCTCTGAAGCACGCATACAGGATCCTAGTGTAGTCATTCACTTGACCTCACCTCGGCAAAACGGAGAGCCGACGAGATACACCCTCCGTGTATCTGGTGACACGATGGCTAGTTCTCGTGGACTAGCAGGTGTAGGCATAGCACTAAGCATGAGGGCGGAACAAGCGCTATTAGAGTGGATCCCCGTTAATAGTCGTCTATGCGCTGTTCGGCTAAACGGCTCCGTAAGAGCTCGGAAGGATAGGGACACGTCGTTGCCTTTTCGTCGTTTCTGCCTACGCTCCCACTGACTGCAGCTCGGATGAAGTGAAAGATGGATTTTACAGAAAACTCTCTGAACTTCTTCAAAAAGCTAAACGTTCAGACATAGTACTCATAGAAAGTAACTTTAATGCCCAGGTAGGTAGCTTAAACGAAACAGAAAGACATTTAGGTGGGTATTTTAGTATTCCGGCACAGTGAACAGATAATGGTGATCATCTGCTGCAACTGTGCTCAGACAATCGTTTATTTTTAGCAAACACAAATTTTAAACATAAGGAGAGACACCGTCTAACATGGCGACCCCCTGCACCAAACCAACGATGGACTCAAATAGACCATATTGCCATCAGTCTTCGTTGGAGAGGGTCGGTAGAAGATTGTCGCTCATTCTGGAGTACCTGCTTGGACTCCGACCATGCCCTAATACGAGCACGCATCTGCTTGCGCCTCACTGGACACAAAAAAAGCCACATTAAAAAGATCCATTAGAATTGAATTCAGTGATGAGAAAACCAAAAGTAGGTTCCAGGAACAACTGAGGTCACACCCAGATGTTGCTTGGAAAGATATACAATCAGCTGTGGAAGCAGCAGTGACATCAATTAGTAATTTAAACCACAGGGTTACAAAGAACCAATGGATTTCGTCAAGGTCTATTGCACTGATAGATTCTCGTAAACTCATCCCATCAGGTTTTGAACACGATGAAGAGCGTAAGCAAATCAGATCTAGGTTAAGCAAAAGTCTAAGGAACGATCGTGAGCAGTGGTGGGCAACGAAAGCAAAAGAGATGGAAAGGCGGCGGTTATAAGTAACACCAGACAGCTTTTCAGACTCATAAAAGAAATTAGAACTAAAAAGTCAGGTGTAAGTCAGACTAACTCGGAAAAAAACGACGCTCATCTGTTCCCAGTCCAGACGTTTAGAACGATGTGCGGAACACTTTAAGGAGAAGTTACAATTACCCTCTATTCCCAGACAGTGTGAATGGAACATTGAAGTAGGTCCCCCATCTCTAGCTGAAGTTCAAAAGGCTATAGTTAATCTGGAAAGAGGAAGGGCAGCTGGTCCAGATGGATTGGTTTCAGAGGACATTAAGGATGGTGGTCTAGTTTTAGCGATTAGGTTGACTAATATTTTAGCTAAAATCTGGGAGTTAGACGTCATCCCATCTAACTGGTCACAATCACTATTAGTCGAGTCAGAGCTTATAGCGAATTGTCATCTGCTTTCGCAACCTCAAGTGGCGTCCGCCAAGGCTGTTCACTTTCTCCATTTTTGTTTAACTTCATCATAGATCTACTGATGGAAATAACGCTCTCATCGACTGAATTCTCGGGCATTGATCTCCTACCAGGAGGTCCACTGTTTGACTTAGAATACGCAGATGACATAGTCCTGTTTGGTGAAGACGCTGATAAAATGCAGAGTCTTTTGGTAGCACTGAGCAACAATGCTAGAATGTTTGGGATGCGCTTTTCTCCCTCTAAATGCAAGTTGTTGCTTCAGGACTGGTCTGCATCAACACCTGAACTAAGGATAGGGGGTGAAGTAGTCGAACGCGTTGACAACTTCACTTATCTTGGAAGTCTGATCAGCCCTAATGGGTTGGTGTCTGACGAAATCTCAGCACGGATTCGAAAAGCTCGCTTGGCCTTTGCCAACTTACGTCATCTATGGCGAAGGCGAGATATCCGTCTATCAATTAAGGGATGAGTATACTGTTATATCTGAGCAAAGATTAAATCACGAGTAACTTCTGAGACATTAATTGACTAATATTATCTATATATTCTTACGGTGTAATTATTTAATAGTTAGATTATGTATATTTATATTCCCCTTATCATAAGCTTCACTTTGACCTATAATTTATCACTGTACGATTTACTGTCCCTAAATTATGCTCAGTTTATTAATCACTGTCTCCCACATTCACAGCCACTTTTTGGCTTATTTGTGTACATATGTTATTTTCTATTTTATGGTACGTTGTGGTCTGCCTGATTGATATATAAACCGAGTATGTCTGAAATAAATGATTTGGTTCGATTTGGTTGATTCGGAAGCTGCTTTTGTGTTCTGGACTCAAGAGGACAGGTTAGAAGGACGTAGGACCCAATAGGACGCTAGACTGCTCAGACCGGTTGAACGTCATTGGCCTTGTCATAGTGCGAATATTCGTATAAGCCGTATTCTGATTGGTGTATAAGTCACGTGATCGTAAGACGGACATCAAAACCATAACATATACTGTGTGGCAGTTCGTTTTGTCCTACTTTATGGATGTGAAACGTGGTCAATAAGAGTAGTGGATACTCGTAAGCTACTAGTATTTGGTCATAGATGTCTTGGAATTATTGCTCGCATCTTCTGGGATCATCGGGTAAGTAATGGTGAGGTTGGACGCAGAGTTTTAGGGAATGATGGTAAATCAACTGATGAGGTTATGAATCTTCACCGACTGAGATGGTTGGGCCACGTGTTGCGTATGCCTGAACACCGATTACCACGGCGCGCAATGCTAACCGGTGTTAGGGATGATTGGAAGAAAGTTAGGGGCGGCCAAACCAAAACGTGGCATCAGTGCTTGAAGTCACTAACTTCTGGTCTGAGTCATATTGGGAGATTCAGACTACCTGGTTGGGGTCCGCGTGACTATCGTAACCAATGGTTGGAGACTCTTGGTGACATGGCTCAGAATCGATCACAATGGCTTCGGTGTATACACTCTCTGCCTTCCTTCAAACTAAGAGATTAAAATCGCTTCATATCTTTCTTTCTAGGAAGTAATTCTTTCTTCCTGTACCATCTCCCTATATGCAATTTTTCTTCTATATATTACCACGACTGAATTAAGTACTTCTATGAATCCGGCGTTCATCTTTTTGTGCTAATGCGGTATGGCAACTTGGACCGATGCATATATGTGCGTGGTCCTACGTTGCAGCTGACTCTGAGCTGACATCCATCAGAGCTGTTTCTTGAATGTCATCGATGGCAAAGTTGAAGAGGAATGGTGAGATTGGGCAAACCTGTCTCACTCCACTGCTTGAATGGAATAATGGAGAGAGGTGGTTGTATGCCCTCACTCTGCATGAGGTGTTTGTGTATAAGGCCTTTAAGATGTTAATAAACTTCTCAGACACACACACTTCTTCAATAGACAATCCCAGAGAACAGACCTATCCAACGAATCGAAGGCAGCCCTGATGTCAAGAAACATTACGATTGTTGGCGGAGGGTGAAGATATGATCAATACATCCTCGACCTGAACGAAAACCAGCCTGCTCCTCGCGAGTCAATCTTTCTCGGGTTTTGAACAACCTACGAAGTATGACGGAAACCAATAGCTTGGACGCGATCGGAGGTAGGCTTATCCACCGATAGTTGTCACAGGAACGACGTGAACACTTTTTAACGATAGGGACAATCCTGTGGTGGCGGTCACTTCGTTGGCCACTGATAAGTAAGATAAGATTGGCGCGGACCAGGGCATGGTCAGAGTTCAGAAAGGTACTCCAAAAGGAGCGGCAGTCTTGTACACAACCACGCCAGCGGTAGCTGATCGCGATGTGATCAATGTATATATATATATATATATATAGTAGTGTTAGCCTCGTAAGCAAATGTTCTAACTTGTTTCTCAGATAAAACTCATACATTTGAGTATGATAATTAAGCTATTCCCGATTGTGTTCTTATTTCAGTTTCTATATTTGGGAATTTTCGGTTTATTTGTTAAAACCTTTTACACTAAGAGTATTCATTTTTTTTATTAATTGTAATAAAAAATAACGGATCGAAATGTGTATCCTGTATTTTATTAAAAGAAACTCAACCTTATTTCAACTTACCAGCTACAATAACTTCAATATTATCCCATTTTGATCCAACAGGTAATAAAGGCCTGATATCGCATCGAATTCGGTCGACAAGACCAGGTAGAGCAGCAACGCCACCAGTTAGGTATATTCTTTGAGGAAAGCTTGACTCGGATGAATTATCAAGTAAACGTGATGTATCTCGCAGTACAAACTCTAAACAATCAGAGAGACCGGATTCTGAACTACCCATAAAACTTGGCTGAAATAAAACTTCATGAGATCTAATATAAACCAAGAAAAGAAGACAACGCAAAAAATACCATTTACTAAAAGAGAGTTTGTCAGTATTTCAGTCAAATGAGATGGGAGTTACTCAATTGGTTTATATTAATGTACCGAAAACCTGTCTTAGATATGTACTATGTTTCCAATGTGATATACTGCCTAAAATTCTGTGCAGTGGTAGTGTGCCTTTAACAGTATTATTGACTGTTGAGACAACATTTATTGACATCTCATGGGACTTGTCATATAGTTGTAGCTTCTAAGATTCTGTCACTAGAGCACAATGATCTTATGGATAACAGACCAATCTATTATTTTATTTTCATACACTAAGATCAGATAATGATAAATGACAAGAACAAAATATAAAAACGAGAAAACAAGACTACCTGTATTAGTCTTCGTAGCATGCTTTAGACTGGTCCTCCTTAAACTACCTTATCTATTGCCCCCAAATGCCCTGGTATGGCCGAGAGTGGGGTGGGTTCGCCCTCTCTCTCGAAATACTCTCACATAGCCACTCGTATATAGCCTCTGCCAGGGAAGTCCTACTCACTGCCTTCTCGTGGCGGGGATGTTGTTTACAAAAATGAGAGGACGAAAAGCGAACGTCCGGCGCTATAACCGGATCTCAAATCAATGGTGCACATCGGCTCCAGTATCCTGAAGGAACAAATGGCGTATGAACCAATCGTTGGTCACCGGCTACCATGGGACTGCATCTCCTTACGATGCTCCACTGCCTTGTGGGTTAGACCTTTAGGTCAAAAGCTCGGGGTGTGGCCCCCTAAGAAAATCACCTGCTTCGGTCTGGGCATCCGGGCAGTATCGCAGCCCTCACACATATCAAATGAGATGTGTGGCGCATATGTATTTGGTGCCTCCTTGTACCAATATCTATGTGTTAAAATAAAAATAATAAATAATAACCTTACCTATTTATATTTGCGCAAACTAGCAAACAAAAGATTCGACACTTATACCATCAACTTTTTTGGATAAAACGTTTATAAGGACAGCCATCGTTTTTCCTTGTTATTATTATTACTTATTGTAATTCTTATGTGATATAAGTAGGTTGCTCGTTTATCTCAGTTTATACGCGAGTAACCAATCACATAGGATTGTGAATAAATGTAGTGTGGTACATACTTATTCCTATTTTAGTCTGTTGTTTTCAATTATCGAGTTTTGATTTACTTTTGAAAAAACAAACAACCGATATGTATTAAAATACTAAATCAATTGATATTTATCAGAATACAAAGGCAATAGATTGTTCATTTTATTTTAAATAAAAATAACTGACTTACCGCATTAGTTCTGTATCAACATGAATTTGATAAAATTGATCTAATTCAACTCTTAAATCTGTAACTCCTAAGTCCCTAAAATATTTCAATAATAAAAAATATGAATACAACAAACTAATATGCACTCGCTTAACAATTAATTAGGGTTTTACGAACGAACCAAATGGGTAAATATAATTCACTATATTAAAGACTTTGGATTGTTACATGTTTTCCAAATATCAGAGATAATTTTATACTTAATCAACGAACAATTATGTTTAATATATACTCCATTTATAAAGTGAAACAGAAAAATAATCTTCCGTTTACTTCTTCAAAGGCTATTCGCACTTATTTATTTCGCAATCAGAGTCCGTAAGTAAGGCATGTGCTTTTTGCCTTCTAAGTACAGAGTACTTTTACATGACTAGCAAGACCCCATACGTGCACTCACCACTGCTAGTGAACAGATAGACTTATGCCAACCTGGGCAATCTCTGGCGCCCTCCTGATGTCAGGTTGCCTGTTGAAGGTCAGATCCACAATGCGTCGGTGAGAGTAGTTTTGCTCTATGATTGTGAAACTTGGTCTCTTCGAGTTGAGGATGTTAGATGTCTCTCTGTTTGATCATCGTTGTCTCCGAAGGATTGTTGACATCCAGTGGCATCACCATGTTGACTATACAGTGGTTAGACAACGCATGTTCAGGGAACAGCGGTGAAAACTTAATTGGTGTCACCATTTTGAAACACTGACTTCGGTGGATTGCATATGTCCTACGAATGTCGTCCCAGAAAACTCCATATGGTGCATTATTTGCCGACTCTGGGACTGGTTGGATAAAGCGGAAGTGGTCAGTGTATGACATGGTGTCGTGATATGGAAGTAAGCTGCACGGGATTGGTTCCTGTTGATCCTGTACGAGTCCTTCCCTGGTTAAGGTGCTTCGGTTTGGGCACCCGGGCAGTATCACAGCCCTCACACAAGTCAATTGAGATTCGTGTGGCGCATATGTATTTGGTGCCTCCTTGTACCAATACCTATGTGTTAAAATAAAATAAATAAATAAGGTGCAGAACGGTGGTTTGAGAAGTTTTCATGAATGGCTCAGAATAGAAGCTAGTGGAGAACCTGTTGTAGCTTTCTCTAACTTTTTTTCATAAAAGAGACCATAAATTCGTGAAAAGAATTGTTTCAGGTTGTTTTTCCTAACTGCACTGCTTCTCCTACCATTATGATTATTATTTCACTCTCAAATACTGTTTTTTATTATGCTCACTTCCCTTTATCTCCTCACAGCCTCAATTTTATTGTGTGATGCATATATATTTGGTACCCCCATGTACAAATGTTTACGTGTTCAAATAAATAAATAAAAGGGTAACCCATTTGGGTATGACATACCACATGCCACAAGCACACAGAAATGTGTATTTCGTACGTGCGATGTGAACGAAACTCAGGTGGGGGAAAGCAATTTATTGTTTGATGCAAAGTTGCTGAGTGCTTTCATAAAATACGCTAACCTTTCATTAAATACATTATTTGCACATCTTCATTCTGTTGTCCTTTACATGATTTATGACTTTCAATTCTGTTCTTATTACAATTGTTCTCTGTCTACATTCCTGTTCTCTTCAGTTCAATTTTCTCAATCATCTGCGGCAGGCATTTCACTTCCGACTGGTGTTGCATACTACTTATATCTATCAATATAAGCAATATACACCACACATGTAATGAATTTATTTTTGATTTAATTCATATCCCCTCAAGTTGTAGATGAGACCCATATTACAACACAAAAGCTGACCTGTGTCCCCTGGTCATCAGTAGTTTTTCAAATTAGGAAGCTCCTAAAATTCCGTTAGTATAAACGGAATTGCATAGTATTTAGCATTTTCAAGGATACGTGTGTGTGAATAGTCTCAAAAACTAGTACGAGAACATACATATAAAATTAATGGAACTTACTTTGAAGCTTCTGGATCGTAAAGTGCCAAGAGACTGTCAATAACTGCTAACTGATCTCGTTCATTTTCACTTTCATCACCTGTATTATCAGCACGATAATCAGATATGACGTTAGTCTTTTTTGTGACAATGGAGAGACTGGAATCTTCGTTTGTATATTCATCAGCATCAGGATCCCACAGACGATTCAAACTATTTGAAGAGTTATTCTGTTCCATTTCCATTGAATCGTCGAAACCCAGTAAATCAGAATTTTCATCGCCTAATGTGTCGTTTTCATCAGTAACAAGATTTATTTCCAGAGAAGGAACACGACTGTCATTCTAATGAAAGCCGAAATTTTTCGTCAGAAAAGGTGTTAAAGAAACTACATTAATTTGAGTATTGACAGTTCGATGATAAAAATCAGTTTTATAATGGATGCATACTAAGTGATTGTAATTGTAAATAAATAATAGACAAATTAGCTTATTCACCAGGTACTCGGGTAGGAGCCATACATTAAAGTTTGACGACTAATGATAGTACCCGGTTGCCCAAACTGAAGTAGGTGTGGTGGGGGTTTGAACTAGAGGCTTTTTGTTTGAAAATCAAACGTCTTAACCACTAAGCATTGGGAGGGTTTTTTAAGACTTCAGATTTACGGTAAATTATGAATAACACTTATTTATTAGAAAGAAAAATATGACACTTGAGTGCCTAATCTTCAAATGAAATTTGTTATTTTTTATGGATTATGCATCAGTCCGTTGTTTTGGTCATAATTTTTCTTCATATAATTGCAAACTCGCTTTCGACTCGCGTATAATTATAAAATCTTTTACCAAACAAAATTAACTATTAGTTCGTCATAAATGTGTTGCTCAATTTAGTATACACCTACTGAGATCTACAAAGTTTAGTACATTGTAGTAACCTTATATTTTACCGAAATTATCACATGAACTAGGAATTAAAGTGATCGAAATTATCCGACACGAATTATCTGGTTTTCTGAAGATTTGGTTATGTAAGAATCACCATGGGACTTTGGCTATGTAAAAATATGTAATGTGTTGGGATAGAGTTACTATTATTGGTGTCACAAATAGACAAAAAACGTCACATTACACAACTGGTAAAAGTAACAAACCTCAGTACGTAAACTTCGACAACGGCCACGTGGTTTTAAAGACCCACGAGATACGGCACCCGACCGCATACCACGTCCATTTCCTCGAGAACGACCTCTTGATGGTTTTAATTCAGCTGCCATAGCACGTATTTTTTCCAGCTGCATACGACGACGTTCTGTTAAAACTTTTTTGGAATCATCATATTTATCTTCATCGGGCCTATACATCCTATGAATAATAAGGGTAAAAAATCATTCACATTCACAAAGTAAATGGAGTGTAACAGGACATACAAAATATAGTAACGTTAATTAAAGTTAATAAATAAACGGGCTACAATACCTAAGAAAATAATCTGAACAATGAGCAAGGATACCTTAAGAACCAAGAGAAGTTTAAACTTTCCGTGCTACTTTGGATTACCATTATTTGTATATTTATTGTCTAGTTTGTAGATAACTTCATTGTTGTATTTCCATGTTTATCTTATTGTAAGCTTTCAGTGGACCTATTGACTATTGTTATGTTTTACTATTCCTTAATTATTGCTAATTAAATATGTAGTTTCCTCAGCCTTTTACCATTTATGATTAGTATGAATTCTTATTTGGTGTGCTGTGTGGTCAGATATTTCAAATATATTATTGCATGTGTTTTGAGTCATAATTGAATTGAGTAAAGCAGAAAATTGGTCTGCTCGCTTTCTGCATCTCTTAATAGGCTACTAAATTAGGAGCTCGGAGATCGATAAGCGTCAAGCCCTTAATTGTTGTTTTTTGGTCAATATGTATATTGATTAAATAGGTTACTGGGCTAATTGAGTCAAATCTCTAACACTAGCAAATCAATGTTTCACAAAATTTCACAGTTTAAGCAACTGAACATCTTTACCATCCCGCACACTATGAGTGGGGTTTAAAGCCAAGAACACGAATCTGTACCTGCTAATAAGTTTAAGCTGCTCGGAGGCCTAACTTTAAACCATTATAATATAGGTTGGAAATCCGCTCTAACTTGTTTGATTTCGATACCAAGTGTAGCAGTTACTTCGGGAAAAATCTAAGACCTGATTTTAAAAACTTGTTAATTGTTCTGCAAATGCACTAACAAATTAATTAATATCAATGAATTTACATATCAACTTATGCTGATGTGAATTATAGTCTCCTAATGGTAAAACAAAAAGATATGTTTGTAAGCTCATAACAATACATGGAGTCATTATTATTTAACCATTGAAGTGTATTCGACTACTTTGAACCTGGTGACGACTGTTCAACTTAAATATAAAGGCAATATGAACGTACTATTAAATATGATATATATCTTAAAAGTAAAAACTAGATTAATTAGGTTTTCGATAACCGTGATTTAATACAAACAAGCTAAATAAAAAAATCCAATAAGGAAATATACTGAAGAGAAAGTCAACTAACTAATCATAATCAAGTCCAACTAGACAAACTTGTGTTAATTATGTTGTCTAGAAAGACAATGATAATTACAACTTAGACAACACAATAATACAAAAAATAACCATGCTGGTTCATGTTCTCTCGAAAAAAAACAGAATCGAGGCACATCAATCACAAGGACGTGGATAAAAGCAAAAAAACGGTAACTTAATTACCCAGAATTTGTAGAATCACTACTCAATCCATTACGTCCAGAATTATTAGCAGAAATACTTGGTTGTGTACCAAGTGTAGATCTAGACTGAATAGTAAAATTATCTTGGTCAGATCCAATATCAAATTGGTCATTTGTATGAAGGCCTATTTGTGTTGCTAAGTCTACGCGACTTTGACGTTGAGCTCGTTTTTTTGATACATACACTCGACGATCTCTTAGTGAATTTAACCACAGCTATTAATCAGAAAGAAAGGTGTAATAAAATGAAAAATTCTGGATCAATGTGGTGTTACTGTTGCTTAATACTCTACATAGATCATATAGGAAAATGAGAATCCGAATTTGTTTTCGTAAATGACTACACATATGTAGAACGAAAATATTTAATTATTAAAAGGTGTTTTCTACCTAGAGGCTCTCTACTCGAACACAACCGGTCTAGTGAAAGCTTATGGCGAACTACCATCAGAATTGATTACCTCAAGTGGTGTTGGTCAGGGATGTCCACTCTCTCCATTCTTGTTTAACTTTGTCGTTGACGTCCTTTTAGAGATGACACTTTCCTCATCTAAATTTCCAGGGGTTGAACTTCTACCGGGAGATCCACTTGTTGACTCAAAATATGCCGATGACATAGTTCTATTTGGTGAAGACGCTGACAAAATGCAGAGTTTGCTGACCACTCTAAGCAACAATGCAAGCATGTTCGGCATGTGATTCTCTCCCTCGAAATGCAAAATGTTGCTTCAGGATTGGGTTGCGTCGACACCCGAACTAGTGATAGGGAGTGAAGTAGTTGAGCGTGTCGACCGCTTCACTTATCTTGGAAGTCTCATCAGCCCTTGTGGTCTGGTGTGTGACGAAATCTCAGCACAGATACAAAAGGCTCGACTAGCTTTTGCCAACTTGCGTCATTTGTGGCGTAGGCGAGATATCCGTCTATCAACCAAAGGACGTGTTTACTGCGTAGCAGTTCGTTCCGTCCTACTTTATGGCAGTGAAACATGGCCAGTAACAGTAGAGGATATTCGTAGGTTACTAGTATTTGACCATAGGTGTCTTCGAAACATCGCTCGTATATCCTGGGACCACCGAGTAAGTAATGCAGTTGTTAGGAAACGGGTACTAGGTAAGGATGGCAAATCAATTGAGGAAGTAGTGAAACTTAATCAGTTGAGATGGCTGGGACATGTGCTGCGCATGCCCGACCACCGACTGCCCCGACGCGCGATGTTTTATGGTGTAGGAGTAGGTTGGAAGAAAGCTAGGGGCGGCCAGACCAAAACATGGCACAGATCAATGAAGTCACTGACAAGTGGACTGAGTCATGTTGGTAGGTGTAGACTACTTGGTTGGGATCCGCGAGACGATAGCAACCGGTGGTTAGAGATCTTGAATGACATGGCTCAAAATCGTTTGCAATGACGCAGGTACATCTACTCTTTGTGTTCTCCCGAATCCTAATCTCGTGAGTTCTCCTTGTCTCTTTTTTTCTCTTTCAAAATTTATTTCACTGGATTATACTCCTTAAATAACATCAAACCCGAATGTTCTTCACCATTACTCATACTTTCACTACCTCTACCACTACGGGATTTGAATCGATAACTGAATCTCTGTGCTAATGTGGTATGGCAACTCGAACTGTACGTACGTACGAAGTTCCACGTTGTTACTGACTGACTGAGAGGTAGTAAAACTGACAAAGGACTTAAAGCACCTAACTACCGACCACCCACTCTGCCAACTTAAGGTTTGGTAACCGAATGGCATCAGACAAAGTTGTATGGCTTAAACTAAATTACGTAACTCTGTCAGTCAGTCAGTCAGCTGCAACGTAGGACCAGGCACATATATGCATCGGTCCAAGTTGCCATACCGCATTAGCACAACAAGATCAACACCGGATTCATAGAAGTAGTTAATTTAGTTGTGGTAATATATAGAAGAAAGACTGTGTATAAGGAGATAGTACAGGAAGATAGAATTAGTTCCTAGAAAGAAAGATTTAAAGTGATTTTAATCTCTTAGTTTAAAGGAAGACAGAGAGTGTATACACCGACGCCACTGTGATCGATTCTGAGCTATGTCACCAAGAGTCTCCAACCATTGGTTACGATAGTCACGCGGACCCCAACCAGGTAGTCTGCATCTATCAACATGGCTCAGACCAGAAGTTAGTGACTTCAAGCACTGATGCCACGTTTTGGTTTGGCCGCCCCTAACTTTCTTCCAATCATCCCTAACACCGGTTAGCATTGCGCGCCGTGGTAATCGGTGTTCAGGCATACGCAACACGTGGCCCAACCATCTCAGTCGGTGAAGATTCACAACCTCATCAGTTGATTTACCATCATTCCCTAATACCCTGCGTCTAACCTCACTATTACTTACCCGGTGATCCCAGCAGATACCCGCAATATTTCTAAGGCACCTGTGGTCAAATACTAGTAACTTACGAATATCTTCCACTCTTAAAGGCCATGTTTCGCAGCCGTATAGAAGGACGGAACGAACTGGCGCGCAGTATACTCGTCCCTTAATTGATAGACGGATATCTCGCCTTCGCCATAGATGACGTAAGTTGGCAAAGGCCAAGCGAGCTTTTCGAATCCGTGCTGAGATTTCGTCAGACACCAACCCATTAGGGCTGATCAGACTTCCAAGATAAGTGAAGTTGTCAACGCGTTCGACTACTTCACCCCCTATCCTTAGTTCAGGTGTTGATGCAGACCAGTCCTGAAGCAACAACTTGCATTTAGAGGGAGAAAAGCGCATCCCAAACATTCTAGCATTGTTGCTCAGTGCTACCAAAAGACTCTGCATTTTATCAGCGTCTTCACCAAACAGGACTATGTCATCTGCGTATTCTAAGTCAAACAGTGGACCTCCTGGTAGGAGATCAATACCCGAGAATTCAATCGATGAGAGCATTATTTCCATCAGTAGATCTATGATGAAGTTAAACAAAAATGGAGAAAATGGACAACCTTGACGGACACCACTTGAGGTCGCAAAAGCAGATGACAGTTCGCCATAAGCTCTGACTCGACTAGTAGTGTTCGAGTAGAGAGCCTTCACAAGGTTTATGTACTTTTGAGGTACACCTTTCAATGACAGACACTGCCACAGAACCTCTCGGTCAACAGAGTCAAACGCTGCTTTTAAGTCAAGGAAGACCACCATTGTCGGACGCCGATAAGTATGCCTGTGTTCTAGAACCTGACGAATGGTGGATATGTGGTTGATGCAGCCACGACCAGGTCTGAAGCCAGCCTGATTTTCACGTGTTTGCAGTTCACGAGTCTTAGGCGTCCGATAATTATCGAAGCTAGTATTTTAGATACTATATTAGTCAAACTAATCCCTCTGTGGTTGTCACAGGATGATTTTGACCCTTTCTTGAATATTGGGACGATAAGTGATTGTGACCAGTTAGATGGGATAACGTCTAACTCCCAGATTTTAGCTAAAATATTAGTCAACCTAATCGCTAAAACTAGACCACCATCCTTAAAGACCTCTGGGGCCAATCCATCTGGACCAGCTGCCCTTCCTCGTTTCAGATTAGCTAGAGTTGGGGGACCTACTTCAATGTTCCATTCACACTGTCTGGGAATAGAGGGTAGTTGTAGAGTAGCTGAAGGCCAGCTAAACTGCTCCTTAAAGTGTTCCGCCCATCGTTCTAAGCGTCTGGACTGGGAGCAGATGAGAGTGTCGTCTTTTTCCGAAATGGTCTGACTTACACTTGATTTATTAATTCCAGTTTCTTTTATTAGTCTGTAGAGTTGTCTTGTGTTCCCTATAGCCGCCGCCTTTTCCATCTCTTTTGCTTTCGTTGCCCACCACTGCTCACGATCATTCCTTAGACTTTTGCTTAACCTAGACCTGATTTCTTTACGCTCTTCATCGTGTTCAAAACCTGATGGGATGAGTTTACGAGAATCTATCAGTGCAATAGACCTTGACGAAATCCATTGGTTTTTTGTAACCAATTGGTTTAAATCACTGGTAGATGTCACTGCTGCTTCCACAGCTGCTTGTATAACTTTCCAAGCAACATCTGGGTCAGTCTCGTTTTCAGAACTACCTAAGTGTGACCTCAGTTGTTCCTGGAACCTTCTTTTGGCTTTCTCATTACTCAATTCGGTTCTAATGAGTCTTTTTTGTGTGGCTTTTTTTGTGTCCAGTGAGGCGCAAGCAGATGCGTGCTCGTACTAGGGCATGATCAGAGTCCAAGCAGGTACTCCAGAATGAGCGACAATCTTCTATTGACCCTCTCCAACGATGACTGATGGCAATATGGTCTATTTGAGTCCATCGTTGGTTTGGTGCAGGGGGTCGCCATGTTAGACGATGTCTCTCCTTATGCTTAAAATTTGTGTTTGCTAAAAATAAACGATTGTCTGAGCACAGTTGCAGCAGACGATCACCATTATCTGTTCACTGTGCCGGAATACTGAAATACCCACCTAAGTGTCTTTCTGTTTTGTTTAAGCTACCTACCTGGGCATTCAAGTCACCTCCTACGAGTACTATGTCTGAATGTTTAGCTTTCTGAAGAAGTTCAGACAGCTTTCTGTAAAATTCATCTTTCACTTCATCCGAGCTGCAGTCAGTGGGAGCGTAGGGAGAAACGACGAAAAGGCAACGACGTGTCCCTATCCTTCCGAGCTCTTACGGAGCCGTTTAGCCGAACAGCGCATAGATGACTGTTAACGGGGATCCACTCTAATAGCGCTTGTTCCGCCCTCATGCTAAGTGCTATGCCTACACCTGCCAGTCCACGAGAACTAGCCATCGGGTCGCCAGATACACGGAGGGTGTATCTCGTCGGCTCTCCGTTTTGCCGAGGTGAGGTCAAGTGAATGACTACACTAGGATCCTGTATGCGTGCTTCAGAGACACAGCATACATCAATCGTACGAGATTTTAGAGTTTTAGCTAAGGAAGCCTGCTGACCGATTTGACATAGTGTGTGTACGTTGAAGACTCCAATGTATAGTTTGGAGCGAGGTTTCAGTAGACCTGGGACACTGTTTTGAGCACTAGAATCGTTGGCTGTGGTGACACTTGAGGAGGAAGCTAAAAGAGGAAGTTTAGTGTATAAAGTCGATGTAGGAAGAATAATAGGAATTGAAGAGGGAGGTTGACTATGAATACAGTGGTCTTGAGTGCTGTTAGAGGTATGAGGGCGGTTATCACTTCCCGGATGCCCACACCGTGGAAGGGTTCTTCTGGAGGTACCTGAAAAGGAAATTGGATTAGAGTTGGTCATAGTGACCTGAGAGCGTGACCGCAGTGCCCAAGAGACAGCTGCTTGAGGTCGGTCACACACGACCTTTTTATGAGTGATTTTTGTGTTAGCTCCGTACTTGTTGAGTCCTTACCGCCGGAGACGGATATCCGTGGGATAAGGTGAGGTGTGCATTTTTAGGGTCGACATTTTCTAACCCCACTCCTCCTTGTGGGAAGGCAGCATCGCTGTTATGCTGGTTGTCTGAAGGAAACACCTTACTGCTGTCACACCTCTGAACAGTCAGCAGTACGACTTTGCCTTCGGACCTTGGTTTTGTTGCTTTTAGTCTTACCGCTCTTCAACCGACCTGTCTGGCATGGTAGGACCTTGAGGAACGGTTGTTCCAGCCAGTATAGCTCAGTTGCTTCATCACGATAGGCAAGCCCGACCACCACGTCAAGGTAGCAACAACGGTCAGAACGTAACTCTGTACAAGATTACTAATTTGAATTCACTTATTCGCAAGTATTAAAAAGAATTCCAACAATATAAAACGATGTCTACATTTCGCTGAACCGAAGCCATGTTGACACTATAAGTGGGAATTAAACTGCGTCTTAATCTTATTGGCGATCGAGTAACCTAAGGAACTCATAGCTTTCGATCGCTCGTTTCAAAAGGTATCGAATTACGCTTATCATTCTGTTTAGTATCTTGCACACAGATGTGCTGTTCTAGTAACAGACAAACCAGTTTCGCTGACTATTTGGGTTATCTTTTGAAATCAATTGATTCATGGGTTTTGCTTCAATAATTCAGTTTTGTCAACAAATCACAGTTGGCCACTTTTAATTTCTGCAAGTAATTCATTCATTCATTTAGCCGCGCGAAGCACGCTCACTGTCACAAATCATCAAAACTATATCCTTTTAACAAAAGTGTAAACTGAGTAAGAATGAGTATCTTCAAATCTAAAGAACATGATAATCTAACAGATGATTGAAATAATCAGTTTGAAAAATATGAAGTAGAATTATCGAAAGAAAGTAAACTTAAGATGTTTTACCAATATATTTAATTATTACTTCCAGGAGTCTTCGTGTTTTCTTTTAATACGTGCTTTGAATGTTTACCTCAGCATAATCAAAAAGGAGAAGTGGTTTCACAATAGTGTAATCTCATCATTTCTAGTCATCAAAAGTGTAGTGGATTTATTATTTTTAATTGACCTCAAAAGAAGAAATACTTACTGAAGACTGAGTTTCGACTTTTCCGGAATATTAACATTCTGAACACATTTTCACATTCAATAAGAATACAAGAAAAGTCTACATATTGCCATGTCAATACAACCAACACAGATTTAATACAATGCAACTAATTTCAACTATTACGACTATGAATTAGTGCGTTAGACCAAGCTGATCGTCATAAACAGATAAGATGAATATTTTACCTCATCAGCTAATCATTACCTAGTGCAACTGTACTTACTATGAAATGGACATAAACAGAGTGTACTGAATGACTAATCTAGTGCATTGTATGGTCTAAATCAGCTTCTTTTTGTCGTAAACATTGGACTTCACAATAGACTGGACAAATGTAGATTATGATCAGACTGTAATACAAATATATTACATCTGATTTTTTAAAACAACGTTTTGTTCTAAATCTACGAATATATATATATATATATATATATATATATATATATATATATATATATATATATATATAACTCTTTTTGAAATGAAATCATTAGACTAGTTAACTGATCAGTAGCAGATAAAAGATTGGATGACACTGAATTTAATTCGGTTGTTATGTTTTATACGTAAGAAACAATACATTAAATATTATCTACAGAGAGAGAACTTGAAAGTTTCGACCAAAAATTAACCTTATAAAGACGATAAGAATGAAAGACAGTGCTTAATATTTTAACTCTACTGAACATAGCTATATAAAAAGGGACATAAAATGTTAAAACAGTAAGCAAAAGTCGACATTTCAAAGAATACTTACACAAAAATCTTCACCATTTATAAATTCGATTTCTCGTGCCATTTCAATGCGCTAAAAAAAATTCACAACAGTTTACAAACTAATAATTAGTGTGCATTTATAGACATCAGAAGTCGATAAAACTATCCATTAGTCAGAATCCAAGTATAACTGAGTTGAAACCGGTACCTATTGCGCATATTGGTTAAGTACGGATTAGATAATAACTTCAGATATATGGAACAAATCGAGTCACAGTTGTTCTTCAGTGGTTTTAAGTACCTTTTAATATATATTAAACAAGGGAGCCAGAAATCATTATTCATGGGCACACTTTCCGTACAAAATGAATGAAGTGATAACAGAGTTGGATTATTCATATTAAGGAAAATAACAGTAGGAATTATGAAAGGCATTACTTAAAATTAGTTAGTTCGACAAATAAACAACTTACATGACGAAGTTTAGCCTCAGTGAACTTCCAATCACTTGAACTTGTATTTAGAGACATTTGTGTTTGTACGGCAGACGGTAATGTTTGAGAGATTAATAATTCAGCAGCACGTTTATATCGACCAGTTAATTCGTTAGTTACCGTGTTAAATGAATTTGTGTAAACAGTATTTATCATTTCCAGTAAATAAGAATAAGACGATTTAAATTTCCCATCTTGCTGACTTTCATCAACAGAATCAAAATCTATCGATTCTTTCTCATCATTACCGTCATCATCATTTTGATTATCATTAACATAGCTATTCGTTTCAATCTTTTTGATAGATGACGTAGACTCGATTTTACTCGAATTAAGTTGGATTTGTAGTTTTTCCATAATTCTATGACATGCGTTAATTTCATGACTTAAATCCGTCGCTTTTGACAAACCTAAGTTGGAAAGAATTTGCTGTAGGGAAATGAAGGGATTAACATGGAAAAATTGGAAATCAATGAAAATAAACGTAACATTACATTTTAAAAGAAATACTTATTTATATATGATAACAATTGACAAATATAAACGTTTTGGAAACTATACTAGTGCCTCGAATATTTTAATTGACTAAGATATGGAGTAAACATTATCACGAAAGGATAATATTATGTCATCTGAACAATAGTGTGTCAGTAAGAAATGAATTTCGAATAGAAATTTCATTGGAACCGCACAGAGATTATATCAAACTGCAACATATATATAAAAATCTCGAAATCGAAATACGGAATTTTTCTGAAACTACGGTACTCTTATTTATGATTATTTTTCTATTTGAACACATAAATATTGGTACAAGGGGGCACCAAATATATATGCTTTCACACAAAACAACGAGAATTTAAAGAGATGGAAAAAAGGTAAGGAGCGTAAAGAATTATAAAAAAAAAGAGAACAATAACGACCAGATTAGTGTAAGGTAGTATAGTAATAATAATGGGGGAAACGGAAAGGTACAATCAAAAGAAATCCTTCAGTTAAGGAAGAAGCAACCACTTTTTATGAGGAAAGTAAAAGAAGGTTACAGCACGATCACCACTGGCTTCTATTCTGAGCCATATCTGATAACCTCTCTAGCCACTGTGTTACACCATCTCTAGGACCCCACCCAGGGAGTCGTAAAGGACCAACAGAAGCCAGCCCTTTGCAGTTTTCTTTCATACCACGACACCATGTCATATACTGACCAGCTCTCCGCTTTTTCCAACCAGTACCAGAGTCGGCAAATAATGCACGATGAGGAATTCTCTGGGACGACATTCGTAGAACACATTCAAGCCACCGAAGTCGGTGCTTCATGATGGTGACACCAATTGCATTGTCGTCTCTGTGCCCGAACACACGATGCCGAACCTCTGCATTACTAACATGGTGTTGCCACTGGATGTCAGCAATCCTTCGGAGAGGCCAGGTTTCACAAGCATGGAGCAAAACTGCTCTCACCGACGCGTTGTAGATCCGACCTCTTACAGACAGACTAACATCACGAAGGCGCCAAAGATGGCCCAGATTGGCATAAGCCGCTCTGGCTTTCACTATACGTGCATTGATCTCATCACTCACACCACCACCAGCACTTATGCAGCTACCTAGATACACGAACTTCTCGACTACTTCTATCTGCTCACCATCCAGGGTGAGTACAAGATTAGAATCCTACCAGTCTTGTAGAAGAACTTTGCACTTCGAAGGTGCAAAGCACATACCATACCTACGGACATTGATTGCCAACTGATTTAGTGCGGATTGCATGGCTTGGGCATTATCGCACAGTAAGACAATATCATCCGCATACTCAAGGTCGAGGAGTCTTTCTCCAGGCAACAGATCCACACCACCATTACTTACATCCATCAGAGCTGTTTCCTGAATGTCATCGATGATAAAGTTGAAGAGGAATGGTGAGATTGGGCAAACCTGTTTCACTCCACTGCTTGAATGGAATAATGGAGAGAGGTGGTTGTATGCCCTCACTCTGTCTGAGGTGTTTGTGTATAGGGCTTTTAGGATGTTAATAAACTTCTCAGGCACACCCTTCTTCAATAGACAATCCCAAAGAACAGTTCTGTCCAACGAATCAAAGGCAGCCCTAATGTCAAGAAACACTACGATTGTTGGCCTTTGATAAGTATGGCGGTGTTCTAACATTTGGCCTTCCTTTCCAGGTCTATCCAATCTTTGTTCATTTTTCTCATGTCTGCCTTCACTTCTCGCCGTAATACGTTCTTTGGTCTTTATATTTTCCTTGGGCCCTGAGGATTCCATGTGAGGGCTTGCTTTATGACACAGGTGGGTGCTCTTTTCAATGTGTGCCCTATCCACTTACAGCGCTTCTCTCTGATGTCTTCCTCCACTGGGATCTAGTCTGTTCTCTCCCACAGTAGGTTGTTGCTAATAGTGTATGGCTAACGGATTCGAAGTATTTTGCGTAGACAACTGTTAATAAACCTGTATCTTCTGGATAATGGCTTTTGTAGTTCTCCAGGTTTCGGCCCCATACAGTAGAACTGTCTTGACATTTGTATTGAAAATTCTGACCCTGGTGTTGGTTGACAGTTGTTTCGAGTTCCAGATGTTCTTCGGCTAGTACTACAATATCTGTCGAACGCACCTTCTGGAGAAGAACAGTTAACTGGTGGTAGAACTCATCCTTGATTGCATCCGGGCTGCAATCTGTCGGGACATAGGCGGAGATGACGAAAAGACATCGTTTCTCACGCCGATTTCTTCTCACTTTGATGGTACTTTCTAATCTAACAGCACATAACCGACTGTTAATGGGGATCCAGTCGATTAGTGCTGCCTCAGCTCTAGCGCCTAATGCAACACCAACGCCAGCAAGACCAGACGAAGATGCCACATGGTCCGCGGATAAACGCACATAAAACAAGCTTTTTGAAGCGACAGATGGAGAGCGAATTTGTAGTTCTTCACCAGAGTCTTGATAGACAACAAACATCGATATTAAGACTTTCTAAAGACATAGCAAGCCCTATCTGTTGTCCGACCTGCATAAGTGTGCGAACGTTGAAGGCAGCCAGTTTGAATGGTGCGCGTGGTTTCAGAAAGACTGCTTCAATACTCTTATTCGGTAGTAACATACAATTTTCAACCAGGCAGTGACTCGAGAACGTTTAGATAGAGCCGAATGTCCACCATAGGCGAGCTACTGTATAAGTCGAAAAATAAGGATAAACAGAGTGGAAATAAAAGAGAGTGAATAAATGACGTGGTAAATAATAATAATAATGTTAATTGTTTGACGATAAATCGCAGCGTGAACAGAGTTTTCAGAGATCATCATTTTCATTATATGTGTGTGTGTGGGCTGTGATACTGCCCGGGTTCCCAAACCGAAGCAGGTGGTTTTCTTAGGGGGCCACACCCCGAGCTTTTGACCTAAAGGTCTAACCCACAAGGCAGTGGAGCATCGTAAGGAGATGCAGTCCCATGGTAGCCGGTGACCAACGATTGGTTCATACGCCATTTGTTCCTTCAGGATACTGGAGCCGATGTGCACCATTGATTTGAGATCCGGTTATAGCGCCGGACGTTCGCTTTTCGTCCTCTCATTTTTGTAAACAACACCCCCGCCACGAGAAGGCAGTGAGTAGGACTTCCCTGGCAGAGGCTATATACGAGTGGCTATGTGAGAGTATTTCGAGAGAGAGGGCGAACCCACCCCACTCTCGGCCATACCAGGGCATTTGGGGGTTTAACTAATGTATTGCGGTAGGCTTACCCAAACTGTAATGACGATTGTTCGTCAAGACCGTTCGATAGTAAAACTACTAAAGAATTATTCTATACTACGAAAATTCCCAACTATGAACTCTGGGTTGAAGGCTATGTGATAGTTGTTGGACATGTCAATATGTGACAGTAGTTTTTTCACACATTACCAAGTTTCTTATGGTATCGCTTGTTTATTATCGAAATAAAATGTCAAAAGTATCCAGTATTTTGTTGTTTTTGAAGTAAACCTAAGTACAGACAAATATTTCCCAGTTCAGAATCGCAGGTAAATGGTCTCCATTTTCCCATTTTTTGACTGAGAGAATCTTGCTTTTCCCTTTGTGTATGTTGAGACCTATTGCTGCTGAGGCTGCTGCTACACTGGTCGTCTTCTCTTGCATTTGTTGCTGTGTGTGCGACAGAAGGGCCAGATCATCTACGAAGTCTAAGACGATGACGTCTTCATGATCCAGTCGATCACCGGGCGAAAGAGAAAGGATGAGAGTAAGCAACCTTGCTAACACCGGTTTTTACCTCAAACGAGTCTGTGAGCTGTCCTCCATGCACGATTCTGCAGTTTAGTCCATCATAGGAATTTTGTATGATATTGACTATCTTCTCAGGTACGCCGTAGTGTTGAAGAAGCTTCTATAGTGTTGACCCAGTCTTATAAGAAGTTAAGTAGTTCCACCTATAAGGGTGGCACTTGAAGATCAGCTCACAGAACTTCAGCAGTTTTACCAGCGCAGACTATTTCAATCATCGATGACTGGCTTCTGTTTGCCGAACGTGTCATAATCCCAAAGAAGCTGCAACCACCAGTGCTTGAACAGTTGCACACAGGACAAACTGGAAATTTCATGAAAACACTAGCACGAAGTTATGTATACTGACCACACTTACACACCCGACTGAAGCAGCTATTCCGTTCGTATACCAGATATGCATTAACAACAAAAGTACCATGGAAAACATAGCTGCCGGATATTCGGTGTTCGTCCTTTCGAGGGCGGGCCCACCCCACTCTCGGCCATACCAGGGCATTTGGAAAATAAAGTATTCGTTGAAAACCTACCAACCATGTATCGTGAAGTAGTCTTAATTTAGGTTAAGCCATTAAATAGACACTCGCAGAGAAAATTTACACTTTAAATAAGTGAATCGTGTTTAATCACATCAACTATTTTGGATGAGAATGCAGAAAATATATATGTCGATCGCGAGATTCAACAATGAAAGGAAATAAATTACGCATTAAATGTCGAAAATTTTCAAGCATCACAAAACAAACAAATTTTGACAAAATTAGAACAAATTTAAGGATTCAGAGGAAACACTCAAATTAATACGAATGAGAGAATAGAACAAAAATATCGAGATCGGAGTACAAACGGATAAGAATACTAATTGAGACAAATGGACAACATTTGTTACATCAAATAATCTTTAGAAAACGAGCAAATATACTCACATTATCTATTATTAACAGATATTGTGGCGTACGATACGAAAAGGAAGAAAAATATAAATGAGGCTATAAATAGTAAATAGATTTAACATTTGTGCAGACTAAAAGTTGTACGTTAATTCGCTGAAATCATCACGAACAAAAACGATTAATAAACATAAACTAATGAGCATATCTCGTTTTTTTGTGGAAGTATAAGTAAATAAAAGAATATTCCATTACACAATTAACAAACAGTAGAAAAATTAAGATAAAATAAAGTACTGTAAATCTGAATTACATAAAACTTCCAACTGTATATTCTGCAAGATTATGATGAGACAAACTACTCACGACTCATTTAACTGAAATCCGTCCAGTGCTTCTAGGTTTTCCATGGTGGTCTAGCTTTAATTGACTCATGATCTCAACTGTTGAAATAACTGAAACCCATTTACTCATTTGTCAGGATGAGCAATTTTATGCTAATAGTTCGGAAGACTTATTAATTGAAGGTATCGACTAGAAGAAAAAGCTGAGTGGTTGACAGGATTGTGTTAAATGTGGAGATAACTTCTATGGCAAATTGACTCGCTTGCAGAACAATGGAAAACTAAGAACTACTGGAGGGCTGTTTCATATTGCTCCAAAGCCTTATACTTAATGAAGAAATGTCGAGCAAGCATGATGCTGCTAAGCCACCAAGTAGGGATCTAATGACTTGCATTTCGTAAACCTAATTTGGAAATTTCTTACATTTTACACTACTCAAACGACCATACGTATCTTACCACTTTCATGAATGATTTTTAAAAGTAAATATTTTTAATCTGCTAAGAATCGATACACTAGTACACTTCTCCCTAACCATTTATTTTATTTTAACACATAGGTATAGGTACAGGGAAGCACCAAGTACATATGCGCCACACGAATCTCAATTGATTTGTGTGAGGGCTGTGATACTGACCGGGTTCCCAAACCGAAGCAGGTGGTTTTCTTAGGGGGCAACACCCCGAGCCTTCGACCTGAACGTCTGACCCACAAGGCAGTGGAGCATCGTAAGGAGATGCAGTCCCATGGTAGCCGGTGACCAACGATTGGTTCATACGCCATTTGTTCTCGCAGGATACTGGAGCCCATGTGCACCATAAATCGTACTGTTTTATTAAGACGAAAATGAATAGCTTACGAACATTTCTAGATGATAAACTGATGATAAAACGACTGCATATTTTTTTATAAAAAAGACAACTCAGACATTGTAACTAATTCATACAGATATTTACGCCATCTCGACAAGTTACCTAAAACAATTTGCCCATCTCGCCATAAAATTGCCTTTGAGCTCATATAGTATCTAGGAACTTCTCTAAATCACTTTCTTAACTGGTCACCAGAACCATAAAGTTCAGAAATTTGGGACTGATATACACAACATGGATTCATAAACTTTAGCCGAAAGGGAATTATCATTGAGAATAGCAGATATGCTTTTATGGTCTTAATATTTAATACGTATGTGTATCATGTAGAGGTATCGCAACTCCGACTTCAGTACAGTGAACGGAACTACCTCTGTCCTCTTCTTCCCTCTAACTAGAGGAAAAAGGCCAGTGTAGTGATGAAAACTTTAATGATGACACTGGTATACCAATCATTGAAAATCTATGCATGTTAATCGATTATACATCAATTGGATTGGTTAGAATTTTTGAATTGGGTATTTGTCACTAAATACAAATCAAGGAAAAGATGAATTGAAAGTTCATAACCATAGTTCACACTGAATAACTTAGTTAGACGGGAGTTCATCTTAATCGATATTGATTTCATTTCTCTTAGTTGTATTTGAGGATTGCGCATCCCTAACAATATTGAAAGTGCTATAAATATCCACTGTAGATTGATTTATAAGTAATATTGTTAGAAGGACTCTCATACTCCATTCATTATAGACAGAAAATATATATAATCAGTTATTAGTTCTACCATTTATAAATATTAGATCAAACATGCTTTAAGTAAGTACTTTTCAAAAATAAATAGTCCTAATACAATTAGTATGGTATTGGTTGATATAAACTGAAAATCCTTGATTTTGCAATTAAAATAAAGGAGAAGCTGTTTTGAAGGCAACTCCTGGATCGATAATAAATCTAATGCCAACGATGATCCAAGTTTAATGACTAATCAAGCAAAAAAATTTTACCTGTTTGCTAATAAGTGAGCAAATTAAGCGAGACTCATCAACTCAAAGAAGAAGCAGAAAATTATACTTTATGGACAAGTTGTCCTGCACACTGTGAGATTTGTATGATGGTATGATGATAGTCAATTCCTTATGTCTACGATATGAATGCAATTATTTCTTCTGATGAGTTTGTACAGAAATTAATGAGACGTCAGTTCAAAAAGACCAATGTATTGAACATATGAATAATTGACACAAAAATTGAGAAATAACAAAAACAATAAATGCTATATGGAAAAGTCAATGCGTGGTAATAATCTGTTTTGTGAGCAAATAAAAAATGAATAGAATTGCAGGAAATAAAAAATAACAAACTAACAGATACCTTTACAATAGGAGAATCGCCTTGTTTCATTAACATTTCCACTTTAGTAAGATTATCTAAGCGCTGTTGAGTTGATTCAAACTTTAAATGAAAAAGAATTATATATTACAAATTTAGAATGTTGTTGAGTAAAACAATACTGAATTTATGAAAACACGTAATTAAGATGTAAATTATCTGTCCTGAGAATTTCACTTCGATAGAAAAGATAATCGCAGGGGTGAGGATTTTAATATTTGAATAGAGCAGTTGAAGCAAGAACGCTCATATCTTCCTATTTGGGACTCGTCATCTGAGTATACCTGCATTCAGTGTTGAAATGCCCACTGAAACATGGACTCAGTACCTTTCGCTTAAAACACCCAGCACGTTATTCACCGATCTAATAGCTCAAACAAATACTAGCTTGTACAATAGGTACGGATTTTATTTGTAAAGGTTTCAGATTTCAACATCAACAACGGGAAAAAACAAACCTTTACAAACAAAACCCGTACTTTTTGCACGCCCCCTAATGCCGTGGTACGGCTGAGAGTGAGGAGATTCAGCTCTCCCTCTCGAAATGTACTCATATGCCAATAGGGACTGATCATTCGCAGTACTTAACATCGACAACGAAAAAATATAGACCTTTACATATGCTGGGATGATGAGGAAAACAAAAATATCTGAGACCAAGTATGGTAACTTTTTGCGTAACTGGTCTAATAGCTTTTTTATTTAGTTTTCTTTTGACACATCATTTATGTTATATATTTTCATATTCATAAACTGGAAATCAATTAAAAAGTTTCATAATCACAACATATTACTTTCACAAATATTAAAATTTATAAAGTGATACGTTGGAGCCTTGTATTTTACTCGAACAATTGCATGAGTTGTGAATTAGAGTAATAAAGAAAAACTTTAAATCACTAATCTAGTTTTCTGTTGAACCAACTAGATAATTAAAGCGAGAATTTCCACGGCATATACAACTGGTAGAAATACAATGGTGGAGTAAGAGGGATTTGTAGTTAACAGTTTACGATATATTTACGAGTTACAAAATTTTGTGAACTGTATGTTTGAAAACCATGTGCTAGAAAAGCACTAGGGTAGTTGAAATGTTAGTTTTACTAAATGAATACCAATGTCTCCCACTTCCTATTGTACAGGGAACTTTTATATTACCTTGTATCCTAGACAAAAATCACTACAAAAAATAAATAGATAAATGAAAATGGATGACGAAACTCATTCAGCGGTAAACGTCCTACACAAAACGTCTTTTTCTTAATCGAAGTTGCGAAATATATATTCATTATGGTTCAAGAATCTAACTACTTGTAGCTCACTTGTTTCTGTTGACGTTTTCGATGCACATTCAATAAGCGTTCAGTTTGAGCACGTTTACGATCAGCCAGTGCTTTCAAGTCTTCGGTTGATGGCTAATATAAGAGATTATAACAACTTAAAATAAAGTGATGATAACGCATAATAGTCATTTTTCTTAAGCATCAATAATTTGAAAGACAAGAATTTGGTGACTTGCTTGGTCAGGTAATTTGTTTAAGTAACAAGCGTTGTATGTCTGTTATTTACACTACAAACGGCAACAACAACTAATGATGGACACAAAATTCAGACTTTATTACCAGGTATATCATATAGTTTCATCAGGATTGCAAACTGGTATGCATGAGGTTTCGAAATCATGATGTGATCCAGGCTTTTTATTAATATCAACTGTATTTTCTATATTGATAAACAAATGCTTTAAAACATATCAAACGTGAAACCTAACGCACATAACAGAAGATCGTATCAAAGTCAAGTGGTGAAAAGGTGTTTTTTAAAATTTGGGTTTATACAATGCCGTCATGAAGTATGCATAAAAAACACCTTGACGAACAATAAGTTCACTTGTTTACCACACACCGTACCAACTATTAACGAAACAAACGTGTTTGATGTCCTTGATGAGAAATATACTTAGTTTTCTGGAGTACATCAAACGGATAAACACCGATCATTACCAAGGTTTGATTTGATAATTTCGAATAAATTGAGCATTGGGTAATTGTTATAAATAAATGAGTAATATTCTTGTAATATCCCAATGAGTAGAAAAACTAGATTTTCTGACGTTTCGTGACTTTGTGTAAGCCACTTCTTCAGAGAATAAATAACTAAATTAAAGTTAATCCAAGTTTAAATAGCACAATTATTTTGGAAATATAAACTACCACATATGGGATCCGAAGAACCTAATATACGGACAAAAGTCAGGAAAAATGAAATTGGAGTCTGCTTGTGTTGGTCGAATTTTGTTGCTGACCTATCTGAAACCATTAGCGAGATCCAAGTCCTATAAAATCTAAAAATGAACGGAAATTCGCCCCATTCTAGCTTTAGTTGTACGTCTCAACTTAATTAATAAAATTCCAAAAATCATACAAAGTGACTGCACCACATCAATTACAACAATACAGTTTAAAGTAAGACATAAATTGGTCAAATTATGTAGTTTTCAGGGGCAGCTACAAAAACACTTTCAGAAATCGGAATTAAAGGGAAAAATGCACATTCACTGAGGGAAAAAACTATAAATACTAGTTCCAGCTCTCCATATGGTTTTTATCACCTCATTTCAACTGGTACACCTGATGATCAAGTTATAAACATGATGCTTTTTCTGAATATAAATATATATAAACCAAATTATGTGGGTCATCAAAGTTTAACAATAATTAATAGTAAATATATGAGATCTACACCTTAGTAAATGGAAGTTGTACTTTGACAGTATGACTTCGACGAAATTCATCAGACTTCCATTCAACCATTTCTTGTCTATAATTGGAAGCTAGCCAACAGTAAGAATGAGCCAATCGCTATACATGAAACAAATAAATGACAAGAATAATGGTTAAGAAATACTAAATAATTGAATAGCTATCTTCAAAGAGCATAACAGTTATGCGAAAATCAGTGAAAATCTATCTGAAGCCTAATGTGCTGAAGTCATATTAAAAAGTAAATAGTAAAATATACCCCTAAGACATTTTTAATCTAATTATTGTTTTATTCTCTGACCGACGTCCGAATAGGAATGAGTTTAACTGAAACCTATCAAAGTAACAGTAAAATCCCGGAAACATAGATTTAGTAGTTAAAAAAACAAGCCTAAAGAGGTTTTCCTAATCCGAATTGCTTGTTGAAACCATCTTCGGACTCTCAGTCAAACAATGGGAAAATGGAGACCATTTACCTGCGATTCTGAACTGGGAAATATTTGTCTGTACTTAGGTTTACTTCAAAAACAACAAAATACTGGATACTTTTGACATTTTATTTCGATAATAAGCAAGCGATACCATAAGAAACTTGGTAATGTGTGAAAAAACTACTGTCACATATTGACATGTCCAACAACTATCACATAGCCTTCAACCCAGAGTTCATAGTTGGGAATTTTCGTAGTATAGAATAATTCTTTAGTAGTTTTACTATCGAACGGTCTTGACGAACAATCGTCATTACAGTTTGGGTAAGCCTACCGCAATACATTAGTTAAACCCCCAAATGCCCTGGTATGGCCGAGAGTGGGGTGGGTTCGCCCTCTCTCTCGAAATACTCTCACATAGCCACTCGTATATAGCCTCTGCCAGGGAAGTCCTACTCACTGCCTTCTCGTGGCGGGGGTGTTGTTTACAAAAATGAGAGGACGAAAAGCGAACGTCCGGCGCTATAACCGGATCTCAAATCAATGGTGCACATCGGCTCCAGTATCCTGAAGGAACAAATGGCGTATGAACCAATCGTTGGTCACCGGCTACCATGGGACTGCATCTCCTTACGATGCTCCACTGCCTTGTGGGTTAGACCTTTAGGTCAAAAGCTCGGGGTGTGGCCCCCTAAGAAAACCACCTGCTTCGGTTTGGGAACCCGGGCAGTATCACAGCCCACACACACACATATAATGAAAATGATGATCTCTGAAAACTCTGTTCACGCTGCGATTTATCGTCAAACAATTAACATTATTATTATTATTTACCACGTCATTTATTCACTCTCTTTTATTTCCACTCTGTTTATCCTTATTTTTCGACTTATACAGTAGCTCGCCTATGGTGGACATTCGGCTCTATCTAAACGTTCTCGAGTCACTGCCTGGTTGAAAATTGTATGTTACTACCGAATAAGAGTATTGAAGCAGTCTTTCTGAAACCACGCGCACCATTCAAACTGGCTGCCTTCAACGTTCGCACACTTATGCAGGTCGGACAACAGATAGGGCTTGCTATGTCTTTAGAAAGTCTTAATATCGATGTTTGTTGTCTATCAAGACTCTGGTGAAGAACTACAAATTCGCTCTCCATCTGTCGCTTCAAAAAGCTTGTTTTATGTGCGTTTATCCGCGGACCATGTGGCATCTTCGTCTGGTCTTGCTGGCGTTGGTGTTGCATTAGGCGCTAGAGCTGAGGCAGCACTAATCGACTGGATCCCCATTAACAGTCGGTTATGTGCTGTTAGATTAGAAAGTACCATCAAAGTGAGAAGAAATCGGCGTGAGAAACGATGTCTTTTCGTCATCTCCGCCTATGTCCCGACAGATTGCAGCCCGGATGCAATCAAGGATGAGTTCTACCACCAGTTAACTGTTCTTCTCCAGAAGGTGCGTTCGACAGATATTGTAGTACTAGCCGAAGAACATCTGGAACTCGAAACAACTGTCAACCAACACCAGGGTCAGAATTTTCAATACAAATGTCAAGACAGTTCTACTGTATGGGGCCGAAACCTGGAGAACTACAAAAGCCATTATCCAGAAGATACAGGTTTATTAACAGTTGTCTACGCAAAATACTTCGAATCCGTTAGCCATACACTATTAGCAACAACCTACTGTGGGAGAGAACAGACTAGATCCCAGTGGAGGAAGACATCAGAGAGAAGCGCTGTAAGTGGATAGGGCACACATTGAAAAGAGCACCCACCTGTGTCATAAAGCAAGCCCTCACATGGAATCCTCAGGGCCCAAGGAAAATATAAAGACCAAAGAACGTATTACGGCGAGAAGTGAAGGCAGACATGAGAAAAATGAACAAAGATTGGATAGACCTGGAAAGGAAGGCCCAGGACAGTGGGTTGGCGAATGCTGGTCGGCGGCCTATGCTCCATTTTGAGTAACAGGCGTAAGGCAGTAAGACTGGGTCTAGAAATTTTTTTCTCTGACTTCATTTGATGACGCTGAAGTGTTTCAAATGACCTCTGCTACTACACACCTTATTTCTGGACCTACTACTATTGAGGCGATGATCATGCCCTTCTGTCTAGGGTGTTGATCTCTAATCGAGAGAGAGCGTCGGCTTGACTGAAGTATTTGTTGACTAATACTTGATATTGTAGTCATAACTCAAAAGGATTGTCGCTCAGAGCTGTAGTGTGTTAGCCGTATAAACAAGGATTTTAATGAGGCAACATCAGTTGGTGCAGACACCTGAATGGCCTCTATGTTGGCGCTAGAGCTAAGGCAGCACTAATCGGCTGGATCCCCATTAACAGTCGGTTATGTGCTGTTAGATTAGAAAGTACCATCAAGGTGAGAAGAAATCGGCGTGAGAAACGATGTCTTTTCGTCATCTCCGCCTATGCCCCGACAGATTGCAGCCCGGATGCAGTCAAGGATGAGTTCTACCACCAGTTAACTGTTCTTCTCCAGAAGGTGCGTTCGACAGATATTGTAGTACTAGCCGGAGACTTGAATGCTCAGGTCGGGCGTCTAGGCACAGAAGAGAGTCATTTAGGTGGCCGATGGGGACTTGTTGGTCGCAGGACAGATAACGGGGACCGTCTACTGCAACTTTGCACAGACCACAACCTGTTTCTGGCTAGCACTAACTTTCGACACAGTCATCGCCGATGTGCCACCTGTCGTCCCCCTTCTGCATCTCAAGCCTGGACTCAGATTGATCACATCGCGATCAGCTACCGCTGGCGTGGTTGTGTACAAGACTGCCGCTCCTTTTGGAGTACGTATTTGGACTCTGATCATGCCCTGGTTTGCGCCAATCTTACCTTACTTTTCAGTGGACAACAAAGTGACCGCCACCAAAGGATTGATGATAGCAAGCTGGTTGCAACTTCTGTTGCTAGTAAGTGTCGAACCGAGCTAGCTTCTAGGCCAGCTACCATTCCACCGAAAAGTATAGATGAGCGGGTAAAGTCTGTCGTTGATTTGCGAAACGTCCCGCTTATAAGCACTGGGTTTCTTCTGGTTCCTTACAACTGATTGAAGCCCGTCGGTCTACTCCGGATGACCGTGAGTTTCAACACAAACAAAGGATGTTACGCAGTAAAATTGGACAAAGCTTGCGTAAGGACCAAGAAGCCTGGTGGTCGTAGCTTGCTAATGGGCTTGAAGCAGCAGCCAATAGCTTGGACGCAATCGGAAGTAGACTTATCCCCCGATAGTTTTTACAGGAACAACGTGAACCCTTTTTAAAGATAGGGACAACTATCGACTCATTCCATGACGTTTCGAAGGGCAGTTCAACTGACCTGCTGCTACGGCAACATCGGTCAGACTGTCCTGCCCTCCATGGTCGGTGAAGACTGGTCCACCAAATGAGGCGGAAGTCCGCAAGGAACTCCAACTCTTGAAACGTTACAAATCACCGGGCCCAGATGACTTACCTCCGGCTCTTTTTAAAGATGGTGGTGACTTTCTGGCTAAAGAACTGACGACGTTGTTTACAAAGGTCTGGGAACTAGAGAGTGTACCAACGTCATAGAATAAGTCGATAGTTATCCCTATCTTTAAAAAGGGTTCACATCGTTCCTGTGACAACTATCGTTGGATAAGTCTACCTCCGATCGCGTCCAAGCTATTGGTTTCCGTCATACTTCGTAGGTTGTTCAAAACCCGAGAAAGATTGACTCACGAGGAGCAGGCTGGTTTTCATTCAGGTCGAGGATGTATTGATCATATCTTCACCCTCCGCCAAGTGTTAGAACACCGTCATACTTAACAAAGGCCAACAATCGTAGTGTTTCTTGATATCAGGGCTGCCTTCGATTCGTTGGACAGAACTGTTCTTTGGGATTGTCTATTGAAGAAGGGTGTGCCTGAGAAGTTTATTAACATCCTAAAAGCCCTATACACAAACACCTCAGACAGAGTGAGGGCATACAACCACCTCTCTCCATTATTCCATTCAAGCAGTGGAGTGAAACAGGTTTGCCCAATCTCACCATTTCTCTTCAACTTTGCCATCGATGACATTCTGGAAACAGCTCTGATGAATGTAAGTAATGGTGGTGTGGATCTGTTGCCTGGAGAAAGACTCCTCGACCTTGAGTATGCGGATGATATTGTCTTACTGTGCGATAATGCCCAAGCCATGCAATCCGCACTAAATCAGTTGGCAATCAATGTCCGTAGGTATGGTATGTGCTTTGCACCTTAGAAGTGCAAAGTACTTCTACAAGGGGGTGTGGCCCCCTAAGAAAACCACCTGCTTCGGTTTGGGCACCCGGGCAGTATCACAGCCCTCACACAAATCAATTGAGATTTGTGTGGCGCATATGTATTTGGTGCCTCCCTGTACCTATACTTATGTGTTAAAATAAAATAAAATAAAACTTCTACAAGACTGGTAGGATTCTAATCTTGTACTCACCCTGGATGGTGAGCAGATAGAAGTAGTCGAGAAGTTCGTGTATCTAGGTAGCTGCATAAGTGCTGGTGGTGGTGTGAGTGATGAGATTAATGCACGTATAGTGAAAGCCAGAGCGGCTTATGCCAATCTGGGCCATCTTTGGCGCCTTCGTGATGTTAGTCTGTCTGTAAGAGGTCGGATCTACAACGCGTCGGTGAGAGCAGTTTTGCTCCATGCTTGTGAAACCTGGCCTCTCCGAAGGATTGCTGACATCCAGTGGCAACACCATGTTAGTAATGCAGAGGTTCGGCATCGTGTGTTCGGGCACAAAGACGACAATGCAATTGGTGTCACCATCATGAAGCACCGACTTCGGTGGCTTGAATGTGTTCTACGAATGTCGTCCCAGAGAATTCCTCATCGTGCATTATTTGCCGAATCTGGTACTGGTTGGAAAAAGCGGAGAGCTGGTCAGTATATGACATGGTGTCGTGGTATGAAAGAAAACTGCAAAGGGCTGGCTTCTGTTGGTCCTTTACGACTCCCTGGGTGGGGTCCTAGAGATGGTGTAACACAGTGGCTAGAGAGGTTATCAGATATGGCTCAGAATAGAAGCCAGTGGTGATCGTGCTGTAACCTTCTTTTACTTTCCTCATAAAAAGTGGTTGCTTCTTCCTTAACTGAAGGATTTCTTTTGAGTGTACCTTTTCGTCTCCCCCAGTATTGTTCTTTTTTTTATTTTATAATCCCCTACGTTCCTTACTTTTTTTCCCTTCTTAAATTCTCATTGTTTTGTGTGGCGCATATATATTTGGTGCCCCCTTGTACCAATATTTATGTGTTCAAATAAATAAATAATAAATAAATAAGTTAAACCTACACGATGAAGTACCAGCCTAGATCATAAGAGGATCAGGTTGGGATAAATCGAGATCTAGCTGTGTAAATTGGGTCCCTCTATATACGACTTTATGTACTAAGAAACGAGTCACAAAAGCCGGTACAAAAAATAGACCAATACTCACTTCAGACAACTTAAAATACCACATACCTCAGCTAGTCCCGTAGTAATACGTTCCGAATGAGAAGGATATTTTAACTGAAGCAAACGCTGGATCATCCAGCTTGCATGAGCTCCTCCTGTGTGGAGACGACGAGCGGCTTGTATCAAAGGTTTAAAAACTAATGGTGTATCTGTATTACGGAATGAGATAATGGGGATGATATGAGTTCTCTGATATCCAAAAGATATAAGGAGACAGTTAGCGTTTGGATCTAAATAAATGAAGAAAATTTTATTTATGAATCTCGAGCATTCAATTAGTGATGAGAAACATAAATCTGACTGGTGAACGCCAGGAAATAGTCCCGCAATCTATCAAACAAGTCCAATTTTCTCAGATATGATAGCAAAATGAAATTACAAAAACATGGAAAGTTCTTAATTTTTATGAATAGAGTTCAACAGGAGATAGTAACGAAAGTTAAGAATTCTATCGTGTAGTATAAGTTATGGAGCTATCATAGCATCTTGAATAATTGTTAACCAAGTGATGAGACATCAGGATTTGTTCGCACAGGTACCTATTTTAAACATAGTTACGACCAGTACATACGTCTGCCACTTAGCATATACGAATTGTCTCAAAACTAATCGGTTGATAACCCGAAAAATTCAGTGTAAATGCAAAGACCTCGTTCAACATCTGACCACTATGAATGAAAGCCCAGGTGAAATATTCCTACCAAAGGACAAGTATATTGTTCGATTTTGAGGTTCTCAAATAGACACCAAGTGGAAGTACAAAAAGATTACAAGCAGTTTATTAAAGATATTTGCAAAAAATCATTTGAGTAACCCCGAGCTCCCAATTTTGGTGAAGCCGCTATCGTAAACTTTGGGGAAAGGGCACCAAAACCCCCAAAATTTCCCTAAATTTAGGGTTTTTCCCCAAACTTTGGTGAAGGTTATTTGACTTCGGAGGTTTCCCCAAAATTTACCAGAACTTGGGTATTGGGACGAACTAATTCAACCAATAAAACAGAACTAAATTTGTGGAACAGCACGAACATTAATGGCAAAACCACGTGGTAAAAATTTCGGGTTATAAACTGCTCTAGTGAGTATTAACTGCTAGAGAAAATGCGAAAACTTTACAGTTGATAAAGTTGATCGTGGGATTAAGTTGAAGGTTACTTGTCCGAACTATGTACGGAAGTACAGAATTTTCGGTTTCGATCCAATATCTCAATCTCGGAAAGATTCTTATAACGAATTGTCGAAAAGAAACGATGGTAATTAGTAATGTCACGAATAAAAAAAGATATTGAAAATTCGTCCCACAACCAAGGGCCACCAAGTGATTAATACGATTTCAAAATGAAGGTATAAACTTTCAGCTCTTTTGAACCACTAAATAAAAAATGTAAAACAGGAGGAACCAATAAAGTTGCATTCAGTTTACCGGTATTTTCAAAACGTTGAAAGTTATAGTAGGAGGCAAGACAGTCAACGTAGAACATCAGCTTTGGGACATTGTAGGTTTCAAACAGTAGCTCAGTTAGCTCTGCGTAAATTAAGAAATAAACAATAACTTGCGAGATCTACATACTCCGGGATTGCATAATACTTCATTAATAACAACAGGATTAGTAAGCGGCTCTTGGACATTGAGCTTGTCGAAGACATGGCTCAGTACCTGTTCTTGTACATCTAAATTAACGACAAGATTGTCCATGAACGGAGACTTCAGGCTATGACGTACAGACTCCAGATCTTGAATGTCATTCCCGACAAGAACACCCTAGCGGTGTTTGTTAACGAAACAGAAAGTTACTTTCGACATTCTTGGACGGTACACTACGTTTGGGAAAGTTATATGAGGTTCTTCAAGATGTGAATAACCGGCACGACACTCATAATTTCCTACGTAAGGAAACATACATTTTATAATAAAATATGGCTTTGATACAAACCATTGTCAATAATGATAGGAGTAGTTGTGAATGTCCCCGAAATTTTGATTTTCTTGGCTGGGACACGATTTAAATGTTCATAAAAAAGCAACGCCATCAAAGTATTTCAGGCGTGAGTTGAGCTACCCTAATTGAAGGTCATATTTTAAAGATTGGCTGCGGCACAAAGACAATGATCTAGAATCAATTACTAAGTTCGTTATCCACAATTAGAGGACCCGTAGTCCATTATTAATTGGATAGACGTTGGTTTTATTCTATAGGATTCTGTTCTCATATGCACCCTCACAATTCAGATTATTCGAACAGAGCTTTGATTCATGTCAAATCGTTCAAATGGTTCAAATGGTTGTGGAAGGAATAGAAGAAGCTTTCGCTTAACAGGCTTCCGTGCCTAGTAGCAGGGGATCACCAATACCTCCAGGCAAGAACCTAGGTTTGTTAACGATAAAAGAGAAAAAAAATAAATTGGTAAATCATAGTAAGATACTATCCTTAGTCCCTAAGAATAGATCAAGTCGCCTCTTAAAGAACACCTGGGAAGTTGCTTGGACTAGCTCAGCTGACAGCGAATTCCAGCACTTGACAACTCTTAAGGAGTAGAAGTTGTGCCTGCAGTCCGTTCTACTATGTTGTATCTCTAATTTCTGGGTGTTACCCCTTAGGTTAGTATTGGGACTAAGCCTAAGTAGGGGTTTAAGAGGATGTCCAGAAGTGTTAAGGATACTATAAGTCATTGGAGGGTCACCTCTAAGACGCCTATACTCCGATGGGTAAAGGTTGAGTGATTGAAGGCGCTCTTCATAAGGTCTAAATTAGAGTCCACGACCTGATTTCGTGGCTCGCCGTTGGATACGCTCCAGAGTGTCCTTATCCTTTTGCAGTGTAGGAGGCGATACTATGTTTCCGTACTCTAAATGGGGACGAATGAAACTGTTGAAGATTATGTGGAAAGTTATCCCGTCAAACTGGCCAAAAATGCGCTTCAATGTTACCAGTGCGAGGTCTGCTCGAAAGACGTTTTTGTCACAGTTATCATAAAGCTTTAAATGGTAGGTCACCAAAATTACTAGACCTCTTTGAGCCTGAAATACTTGTATGGGCAAGTTGCCTAAGTTGTAGTTACAGTCTGCAAAATGTCTCAAATGAACTACTTTACACTTTGAATTGTTAAAGGCATGTCCGTTGTCGTCTGCCCAACTTTTAAGTCGAGTCAGATCCTCCTGAATTACCAGTTTATCCTCATGGTTACGTACTGCTGTTCAGAGTTTCACATCATCAACGAAAGTAATAAATCTGACGATGAATGTTGTGAAAGATCGTCTATATAAATTGAGGAAATAAGGAGTCTAGTATTGAACCCTGGGTGACGCCGCTAACACATTAGATAGCCCAAGAGAAAGCAAAGTTAACACAGACCTCAAATGTCGATTTTCTAGATACAAATTGAGCCAATTAATTAAGGGCGATTTGATGCTTAAATGTGTGAGCTTATTGATAAGACACATATGGTTGGTCTTATCGTGAGCTCTTGAAAAGTCAAGGTAAATTTGAACAACCTTCTCCTTGCGATCAAGGATGGTTGTCCATCTGTTCACCGCACTTAGCAGGTTTGTTATACAAGAGTGACCTCTTCCGAAACCGCGCTGTTGGTGCGAAAAAAAGTTTATGGATCATAAATAGTAGTGTATACCATAGCATATCAGGAACTCTACAATTTTGAGAGTACAGAAAGAAGAGCCACTGGTCGGTATCCTAAAGTTTCGCTACGTCGACCTCTTTTGAAAATCGGTATGATGTGATCCGGCTTCCGAATTTTGCGAAAATGTACCTCGGCTTAGCAGATATGAGAACAGAGCGCTAATTGGTGTTGCCAAGACTGAAGCTTCTTCCCTCAGTATAGTAGAACGCATCATATTCCGACCGGGAGAAGTCCCTATTTTTAGGTGCTCCAGTTTTCGGTACACCAATCCAGAGCTCAGGTTCACTTCTGAAAGTCTTGTAGAGTTGCAGGTGAAGCCTTCAGCAATATGGTTAGTGTGCGTCGGTTGAAATGTCCGAGAGCATTATTTAACCAGAAGGTTAGCGGCGTCATTGCTATTGTTGGTCGGACTATTAGGACCTATCATTTGGGAAATCCCTGTTTTGCTTTGTCGAAGAGAGGCTGCATGACAGAATAAGCTTTTATAATTGGAGACAAATTTATCGATAAGCTGTATCTGGCACTGAAGCCTTTTATTTATTTGCATAACCTCCATGCGCCGTCGTTACCAGTTCGTTTGTATTCCGCGCGACGGTGACTTTTGCAGCTTAGCAAACGTAGAGTACGGTTCATAATGATTGTAGGTTGCTTGTAGATTTTGCGGACCATTTGAAAACAGACTGAGAATATATCCATGTTTCATATATACCCATCAGCTTTATTAGCACTACTGAGTTCACACAGCTCATTTGGTAAACCCGCGACGTTCATATATAAACGCTTTATGCTTTTAAATTGAGACACATGAGCTTCTTCCGTCCTGTATATCTGTATGAGCCTTGTGTGAATCGATAGGTAACCTACCTACACAGAGTTTTCTGAGTTGACAGCCTTTGTCCTTTTAACCTTTTTATGATCTTGACAGTCCACAAATGGAATAGCCAACTTTCCTTATGTTGGGAACGATAGATCCCCCAAAAACTCATAGTTTGTAATTATATCTTGCGGAGCTTGTATGCAGATGTATACGTGGGCATTTCTTACCACACACGCACATAGTTGATTGACGAATTTATCGATTAAATGTTTAAAAGCTCCATGGCAATAACGATATATATATATTTGTATATATACATTTTAAAATTGTCTTGTAAAAAGGTTTGCTGGTTTTCTGGTTGTTGCAAAATATACTCTCATTTCAAGCCTGGACTTCTCCCTCTAGATAGCTGGGGCTGGGACGCGTCATTAGCTAGCTTACTGGTCTTAATCATCGAATCTCGTTCTCGTCCGCAGAATAAGTGAACTAGTGATAGCTTCAACCCTAACACCTTGGGAATGTTTCTGATGAGATTGCGCTCAGAATACAGTATATCAGGCAGTATTCTTACATTCCTACTAGTTTTCGGTAAGTGACTAACCAGTAGGACGTTCTTTGCATCGTCAGCGTTAGTGAACGCTACACGAAGCACACTTGGGTGATGTTGATGCTTCGAATCCTCTCCCAGAGTGAGCCGGGTGACTGTCGAAAGCTCTATTCCGGAAAGTTCGAGCTTGTCGTTTAACTCTTCACAGAGCATCCTGCCATTTTTGTCCTGCAGGCTGAGGGAAAGGTCTGGGCTGTCTTTAGGTTTCATGATTATGAGAGGATCATCGCCAACCGTAATCCTTTTCCCAGGTTTTCGGTACGTTCAGGTTGAGGACCTTGTTGTTTGGTGGCTGAAGCGCGTCTCAGATTCTTGTACTCTTCTCCGTCCGGTTGGACATTCTTGGGGGTAGACTGTAGGACCAAATAACCAGTTGAATTCACTACGATACCTACGATGCTCATCTTCTTAGGAGGTGACACGGGGCCCTTTCTAACTTTGTTGACGTGGGTCCAATCGCCCACGGAGCCTTCGAAGGCCACCGTTACATTTAGGGATCCTGAGCTGAGAAATCAAATTTGCTGAGGGAGCCCAGTGCCGTCGATGCTGTGGTGGTGCTAAGCTGCAGCACATCCTCACTAGTGTCACTACATACAACGTCCATAGCAGCGCTGTCGAGGTCCTCCCTCTTATCTCCACTGTGAGTATTTGTTTGTTTAAATATTTCGGGGCTGCCTTCTTAAAAGTTTACTAACGTTTTTCGTAGACCTGTCAGGAGAACGGTGATGTTCAGAAAAACCTCAGCATACATACCTATCCTCAAGCGATCCAACTTCTGAGCCTGTTGTAACCAGTTAATATAAGATCTGTGCGTGTTTTGTAGAGCCAACCCTTGTCACTGTAACGGTACATACCGGAGGTAACAGCAGAAGTTCATCTGGGATGCTTGCGTGAATTTTTCATGACTATGGTGATATACATTTTTTGGTAGATCCTAACAAAAGTCTGCGACCGTAAAACAAAAAAGCAGAACACTAAGACCTAATAAAATGAATAAAAACCGGTGGTACAAAAGGTTAGGATAAACTAAAACTGGTCTTGATGTGAAAAACAGAAAAACCAAATAGTAAGCTGAGACAAAACCACAGTCAACTATTGAGTTGTATGGAACTCAAAAAGGAAAGTAGTTTACCAAAAGTAAATCTTAAAACACATTCTTTGGGTCAAAAATCGTAATGTTGTTGCGCAAAAGTTTGAGAAATGCATAGTACGTTAGGACTGAACTTCCCGTCCGTAAAGCGCGCGAAACTTACTTCACATGACATAGTGGTCATATAAATTAGGGGATAAATGTGTGTATATAAGGACATGAATCAAGCTAGTGAAACTTAATCTTTCAATGTAGAATTTGGCGAGCTTTGTGAAAGCTGCGTTGATTCAGTCACGAATTTACTTCTCTTGCATCAGGGCTCTTACGAAAGCTAATATCTATTTGACCTCTCCAGTAAAATGTCCACAATGGGAGCTGAAACTGCGAGAACGAAAACTTGGGGAAATGTCATTTCCAATTGTGTACTGATATGGTTCTTGTTTTTGTATTTGTTGTCTCGGAAAACCAGCAGTCGGTCGGTTTGCCCAAGACACTATCAACACCAAGTTAATCTTAGTTTACTTCACATCAGTTTGCTGTTTTTACACACATTTTATTAAACAACCACTGATCTTATACAGTTAATTACCAACTTATTTGTAACCATAACGTTCCCACGCTTTTCTAACTACTTTGATAAACATATGTTTACCTTGACACCATCTTGTTTGCGCAAAATCCGTTTGTGAACTCATGCTTTATACCATTGCAATACAAAACACTGCATCAGTGTCTAACGTGCAGTTCAAAAGTTTTTATTTTTTTACCCTATGACTAGAGGCTTGGAATTTCATAAAAACGACTGATAAACAAAAAATGACGGCAATGGCGAGATTTTAGTGTTTCCACATATTTTGCACTCTTTCCTTACACTTGGAAACAATCCTTTAGCTTTATACTTCATTTCTACCTCCATTATTTGCAGCCATTTAGCTTTGTTACATATCAC